AGCTGAAGAATGTGAAGAGCGTTTGCCAGTTCCTGTCTAAACAGAGAAGTAGTTCTTGTTAAATCACGACCTCGTTCCCGTGCTGTCGCTCCTCTGTGGTCCCTTTTTGTAACTAGAGAGCTGGAGGTCCATTTAAAACCTGAAACAAGATCAGCTCCTTGACATTCTTCCAAAATGAAGACAAATGGTATTTTCTCTTTGAAAAGAAGAGAATAATTGTAACAATAACGTCTCTTATAATACATTTTCCCTCTTTTTGAGAATTTGAAAAATAGATATTAAAAGCGCTTTCTTTTCCTCTTCTAACCAGATGTGCAAAAAAAAGTTCATCAAGCCTTTAGCTTTCCCTTTTGGTACAGGTTGACGGGTTGTTTAATGAACTTGACGTTTGTCTCAGGTTGACGAGGTCTTCGTTCAAACAGTGAACACGTCCTGGATGCTCCATGGAAGCTTCTTACAGGCCTGAGCCACGCAGTTCTCTGACAGCAGGCCCAGACACACGGCCATCAACGAGAGGCGTCTGCTGCTGTTCAGAATCACTGCAGAGGACACAGAAAAGGAAAAGACAATTAGGAATATATAGCTGAAGTACCTCTGGAAAAATAGACACTTTTATTCAAGGATTAAGAAGTGGAAGGACTAGACTCCATACTCTGCTGCACTTGTCTTTAATGTGTTCCTCATGAAACTCCTCATCAGAACAATACACTGTTAATCACTCAACAACATGTCACTGTGTGCAGCTCACAGGCCTGTTGCCAAATACAAAGACTGCAGTTATGATTCCAAAGCTGCAGCTGCTGAAGAAATGCTTTACAATACAAGTGATTTAATTCATTCATAGTCTGTGTTTGCAGTCGTATGAAGTCAGGAGCGCAGGAGATGGAAGATTTCAACAAAAGAAAAGGGATTCAGAGAGTTAGGGGCCACCTGTTGCAGATGCTTTGGTGGAAAAAAACAAAACATCATCACTCCTCTGGTGTTATATTCATAAACACATTCTCACAGTTAAAAGAATAACACCTGATGTGTTTGTACTGTTTGGGTTAATAAGAAGACGTCTTCATCCTCTAGCTGAGCCTTCAACAAGGTGACTTTAAGGCCCTGCTGATTTGTTAATCACTGTAGTGTTTTTGTGTTGAGGGACTTTATTCAACACTGTGTAAAATCAGCCGAAAAGGATTTGCTAAAAAAAAAAAAAAAACCTCGTAAAAATATACTCGATGTGACCGTTCTTTATTAAACAGTTTTTAACTTTTCTAACTTAAACTGTTTCAAAGTTCATAATAATAAGAACAGATTTAGTTCAATAAACAAAATAATTTCACATTTCATCCAAAATATTTAAATGCATCCTTTAAAAAGCTCAAATTGAAGCTTTTTTTCTTCCTGTTATCATATTTATATTTAAACATACTCGATATTTAGACACAGTATGTTGTATTAATTTCTGTTTAAAAAGTCTGAATTCTGTTTAGAAATCATCTTAGTTCAGTTTTGAGTCAAACATCAAAGTAGGGGTGGGAAGAAATAACGATACTGCGATACAATTCTTTAATTCATTTAGCACACACTTTCATCTAAGTGATAAAATAAGAAGCATTGTGCATGACTTTATGACACTTCTGAGGTGAAATAATGTTTTTGTGTTCTTTGATAAATGGTTTAATCGCGTCTCCTCCTGTACCTCTGATAGCCTGCGAGTTTGACATGAGCACAAACAGCTTGATGAGGCCGAGGCAGAGCGGGGAGTAGTCGTGCTCCCAGATCACAGCCGGAATGAGGAGGACTTTTCCGTAGCAGGACAGCAGCAGGGCTCTGAGCAGCAGGCTGAGCTCCACCGTCCCTCCCTGGAGACAACCCACCACCACCCAGAGGAAGCACAACACACCGCCGCAGAACGCCGACAGCTCTACACAACAGACAGGAAAAAAAACACTCTTCACTTCACTTGAAATGTAAAACACTTTTTGTTGGTTACTGATAAAACTGAAGCCTCTTGTATGGATGAGTGTGAGTAGATTTTAAAGATATGTATTGTCCCTCCAGTTATACAAGTACACTCGAGTGAAATGATCGCGCTGTGAGGCTCCAGAGTCAAAGGGTCGGTATTAAATATAACACACATGAAAGATAAGAAAATCTGTAACAATCCAACGATGATCCGATTTATTCATCTTACCGAGGGCGGCCAATCCAAACATGTTGTAGAAGTCCCACTCCTTGGTGTACCTGATGATGTCAGCAGGGTCGCTGCTCTGCTCGGAGCCATGGAGAAGAGACCACCGGAGGTACGCCTCACACAGCAGGCAGAACACACACAGCTTCCAGTGGATCTGCACAGAGCGGAGGAGAACATTTCCAAACACACACACACACACACATAACTCCGTATTATGAACGTCACACCTTAACAGCGGACAGACTCTTTAGGTATCTCATATGGCTTCTAACTTGAAATGTTATTGTTTGTGCACCTGTGAAAAGACGTTGACAACTTACATTCAAGTTTGTGTTGAACAGAATGTGTCTGAAAGCCTGCGTCTTGCACAGTATGGCATCAATTAGGATGATAACTGGGTCATATTCAATGTACTTGTCCACTGGTTTCTGGCACGACCCCTGGGGAAAAACACACAGGCAACATTAGCACCACTCCTTAAACTACAAAATAAATAAAAAATCATTTCTAAAAGGACATGTTGCTTCTTTGACAACCTCATACAAAAGAAATAATCCGAATAGAAATGCCTCAGTCCTATAATTAAGTCACGTACAGCTAAAGAATCAGGAGTATGGTTTACTAATAGTCAAAGGTAGGTGTTATGGTTAAAAGCGTGACCCTGCTAACTGGTGACTTTCAGCCAAAATGATTCTGTGGTTGTCATAGTTACTAAGCTGAAAACGTAGCTGCCCTCGCTTATGCCTCTTTGTGTAGTTAATATATTTAGACTTTATAAATAAAGCTTTCGCGAAACACAGGTGAGAACAGTGGCAGAGCATGTTAGCTTCAGCATAAACAACAATCAAAACAACTTTAAATCCACGGTATTTATCGTGAACGCACACATATCGTTGTCTTCAGGATCCCGTTGCTGTAGTCTCTGTGTAACTCCGCTGCTTTGTCGTTACACTCAATACACCTAAAGTCATCTTTATCCATTCTTCGCCCTGTGAAGTGCTACCACAGGTTAGCGTTTGAGGAACTGGCAGCGGAAGTAAAACAGTGACGTAGTTTCAGCCTTCAAAATAAAAGTACATAAATGTAAACGTCTGGATTGGCATTTCCACAATATTTCAGGTTGTATGTTTTGTGAAAGCAACTGATTTTGTGCGGCTTTTAAATTGCCCTGTCACTTACCACTTTTAAAGGGATATTTGAGAATTCGTGTCACACTTTGCTATTCATTTATTTTCTAATGTAGAACTTTAAACACACTGACACTTTACACTGTTTACATTCTATATTTTGTATATTCAAATATTTCTTTTTTAAATTTTACATTATATTCTTTTTTACTGTATACATGTGTATAAGTAATTTGAGTGTCATTGCATGGCCTTGCGGAACAGTCTTTACACTGCACATCTGTATGAGCATGTGACAAATAAAAATCTTGAATCTTGAAATCTTGAATCTTGAATCTTGAATCTCAAAAAAAAATACTTTATTAATCCCTGATGGTTTTTTTTCTTTATTACTATGTTGTTATGGTTTTATGTTCACTAAATGGCTGTAGATATACCTCTACATTAGTATTCTGCTTACACATTATTGCATCACTATTGAAAATATTATGTAGAGGAGTTCAGGACATTTACTTTTAAAGCAGTATTATAGGCTGTGGCATTTATATTTCTCTAAAGTAAATACTCCTTCAACACCTGACTAAACTGACTACAACACAGTTCTGTTCAAAATATAATCGTATACATATAATTGAAATATAATTGGTATACAATTAATTCCAGTATGAGCACACTGGCACCCCAGCTGAGAGCTAAAACCAAAATATAGTCCAAAACAAAGGGCTTTATATGTATGAAAGTTTCCGAGAAATTTGCTAAAGCATCATAATTTCATTTTGATAAATTATTGCCAACACATTTGGACATGACATAAAATATGCCATTTCAATATAAATCCATTGATAAAGATGGAGTAATTTATTATATACAGTATGAATTCAGTGTATTTTGTAGGGTAGAGGATTAGAGCCAGACATAAGAAATAAATAATGATAGGGGTAAGATTTATTTATATTATGCACTTTGAGAAACAAATCAAGATGTTTAGAAAACGTTGTGAATAAAGTAGAAATGTAGAGGCACTTTTCTCTGGAAATTTAGACTTCATTCTCGACATTTCTACTTTTTTTCGGGAAGAAAAAAATCTTCCTACCTCTCAGTATTATTTTCTGAATCCTTGTGCTGATCCTCTTCTTAAATTGTGTGATTAATTTTCTGTTTAGATAATTATTATAGATCATTTTATGATAGATAATTGTATTATAGATAATTTTATTATAGATAATTTCATTATAGAAAATTATTATAGATAATTTTATTATAGAAAATTATTATAAATAATTTTATTATAGATAATTATTATAGATAATTTTATTACAGATAATTATTATAGATGATTTTTTAGATAATTTTGAGGTTCGCCCACAGCATCCCAGAGGAGAGAGAACAGCTACATTTTTCATGATTTTGAAGTTTAATCTTATAAACTTCTAACTTTTTTTCGTTGCTGAAATTTGGCCTGGTGGTTAATATAATACATTCTTCTTTTGTATAAAAAGATTTTTTTGATTTTACAGGGACTTTAATTTGAAATTCAGAAAAGGAAAACACGTTGTCCTATCTGGCTTTGCTTGATACTGGAGAGGAGGGACCGGTTTGGAAGTCGCGTTGCATTCTGGGAAACGTAGTCTCGCGACTCTTTACTGCAGTCCGTGCGCTTGAGGGGGGGCGTGTCCGTTTGTGCGGCTCGTTCGACCTGCAGCTTCCGCTCTCTGGCGTCACACATGTAGCACAACATGGCCCCTTCCAGCCGGGATGTTGTTTTGGTAGCGCTCTCTCTCCTGTACCTCAGCCGGGCCATCCTGTCCTCCGAGTATTTCTCCACTCTCACTTTGTTCAACAACGAGCTCCACAAGCAGGGATGCAGCTCGCTGTCCGAGTGGGAAGAGTACGCGGCGGACTGCGGTAAAGTATCCCATTTCGCTGCTCGGGGTTTTGCCACGTCCTCCCCGGTTCATCTGTCACCGTGTAACCCCGGCTAGCGTCAAGGAGCTAATAACAGCGAGCCGTGACAGCCCTGAGGAGATAACTGGGATAAGCTGCTGCTCTGACTGCAGCAGAGGTTAACCTGGATTTGAAAAGATAAGAGACTTGTAAGAGAGAGAGAGAGAGAGAGAGAGAGAGAGTGCAGCAGAGAGGAAACTCAAAATCAAGCAGAAACACTTTCAAACTGCATGTTGTGTAGCTTCCTTTTAAGAGGTCTACACCAAACCTCAGTCAGAAAACGCGTCGTTTTGACGTCGGCTCGTTTGTCAGCAGCATTTCAAAAATGTTCAAACCTGAATGAAACATTTGTTTTTGATCTTCCGGTGATGCACACAGCTCTACAGTTTTAATACTTAAGCATCCTTTTATCCTGTCAGTGCATCTTGCAAGCTTGGCCTGTAGGTAGAGATGTAACGATTCACTCAACTCACGATACGATTCACGATACGATTCTCTCAGGATTTAATTCACAAAATGAGACTGTCGACAGATTATGACTGAGAAATATTCCTTTAGGAGCTGCAAATCCGTTTTGTCAGTGTGGTTTTTTTTTTTCCTCTCAACAATGGGAGGTGATTGGAGCTTCTCGTTAAACGCTGCATCGTGTTGGTTGTGCTGTTTGTGTAGTTCCTCGTCTTCAGTTTTTTTTGGGGGGGGGGGCGAAATGAAAAAGACGGCGGTGCGTCGTCGACTTCTAAATCTCGCTCTGCAGCCGCTGACGCTCACCATATTATTGAGATTCATTTTTCAGAGTACCGATGTGAATCTGGACCTTTGAATCACGATGAATCTTTGATTCTCCCAATAACAATAATAATCAGGATTATTTTGATTGATGTTGCGATCATTAAACACGATTACTCATTTGTTTTACAACATCTGCATCACGTGCATCTATCAAACTGAAACAGTCTTTTATTTGTTCTGCCTTAGAGAGAGAGAGAAAGAGAGAGAGAGAGAGAGAGAAAGAGAGAGAGAAATGACATGCAGGACATTCAGTTACATTCTCCTTCAATGTATCTTGTTGGATCATAGTGTTGTTGTACTCGAGTACTTGGTCTTGGTCTCGAGAAGGTCTCGGTCTCAGACTGGGTGAACTCCGGATTCTGAATCAAGACCGGTCAAGAATCAAGACCGGTCAAGACCACCACTGACAGGTTATTTTTCAACGCCGTCACTGTGATTTGAAGGTAAACACGTGTTCCAAAAAGAACAAATGACTTCTACTCATTCATAATTAGATTTTTATCTCCATGGTTACGGTCTAAGTGAGTGACACTGCACACAAGACGATTTTTTTTTTGGATGATTTTTAAGTGATATTTATGGTCTTGGTCTTGTCTCGGCCTCGCCCTTCCTTGGTCTTGGTCTTGGCTCGGTCTTGATCCCTAATTGTCTCGGTCTCGGAGCACTCTGGTCTCAGTTCTGTCTTGGTCTTGACTCGGTCCCTCCTGTCTTGGTCTTGACTCGCCCTTCCTTAGTTTTGGTCTTGTCTCGGTCCCTCCTGTCTTGGTCTTGTCTCGGTCCCTCCTGTCTTGGTCTTGTCTCGGTCCCTCCTGTCTTGGTCTTGACTCGGTCCCTCCTGTCTTGGTCTTGTCTCGCCCTTCCTTAGTTTTGGTCTTGACTCGGTCCCTCCTGTCTTGGTCTTGTCTCTGTCCCTCCTGTCTTGGTCTTGTCTCGCCCTTCCTTAGTTTTGGTCTTGTCTCGCCCTTCCTTAGTTTTGGTCTTGTCTCGCCCTTCCTTAGTTTTGGTCTTGTCTCTGTCCCTCCTGTCTTGGTCTTGTCTTGGTCCCTCCTGTCTTGGTCTTGTCTCGCCCTTCCTTAGTTTTGGTCTTGTCTCGCCCTTCCTTAGTTTTGGTCTTGTCTCGCCCTTCCTTAGTTTTGGTCTTGTCTCTGTCCCTCCTGTCTTGGTCTTGTCTCGGTCCCTCCTGTCTTGGTCTTGACTCGGTCCCTCCTGTCTTGGTCTTGTCTCGCCCTTCCTTAGTTTTGGTCTTGACTCGGTCCCTCCTGTCTTGGTCTTGTCTCTGTCCCTCCTGTCTTGGTCTTGTCTCGCCCTTCCTTAGTTTTGGTCTTGTCTCGCCCTTCCTTAGTTTTGGTCTTGTCTCGCCCTTCCTTAGTTTTGGTCTTGTCTCTGTCCCTCCTGTCTTGGTCTTGTCTTGGTCCCTCCTGTCTTGGTCTTGTCTCGCCCTTCCTTAGTTTTGGTCTTGTCTCGCCCTTCCTTAGTTTTGGTCTTGTCTCTGTCCCTCCTGTCTTGGTCTTGTCTTGGTCCCTCCTGTCTTGGTCTTGTCTCGGGTCCCTCCTGTCTTGGTCTTGTCTCGGTCCCTCCTGTCTTGGTCTTGTCTCGGTCCCTCCTGTCTTGGTCTTGTCTTGGTCCCTCCTGTCTTGGTCTTGTCTCGCCCTTCCTTAGTTTTGGTCTTGTCTCTGTCCCTCCTGTCTTGGTCTTGTCTCGGTCCCTCCTGTCTTGGTCTTGTCTCTGTCCCTCCTGTCTTGGTCTTGTCTTGGTCCCTCCTGTCTTGGTCTTGTCTCGCCCTTCCTTAGTTTTGGTCTTGTCTCGCCCTTCCTTAGTTTTGGTCTTGTCTCTGTCCCTCCTGTCTTGGTCTTGTCTTGGTCCCTCCTGTCTTGGTCTTGTCTCGGGTCCCTCCTGTCTTGGTCTTGACTCGGTCCCTCCTGTCTTGGTCTTGACTCGCCCTTCCTTAGTTTTGGTCTTGTCTCGGCCCCTCCTGTCTTGGTCTTGACTCGGTCCCTCCTGTCTTGGTCTTGTCTTGGTCCCTCCTGTCTTGGTCTTGTCTCGGGTCCCTCCTGTCTTGGTCTTGACTCGGTCCCTCCTGTCTTGGTCTTGACTCGGTCCCTCCTGTCTTGGTCTTGACTTGGTCCCTCCTGTCTTGGTCTTGTCTCTGTCCCTCCTGTCTTGGTCTTGACTCGGTCCCTCCTGTCTTGGTCTTGTCTCGCCCTTCCTTAGTTTTGGTCTTGTCTCTGTCCCTCCTGTCTTGGTCTTGACTCGGTCCCTCCTGTCTTGGTCTTGTCTCGCCCTTCCTTAGTTTTGGTCTTGTCTCGGCCCCTCCTGTCTTGGTCATGACTCGTTCTCGATCCCTAATTGTCTCGGTCTTGGAGCACCCTGGTCTCAGTTCTGTCTCGGTCTCAGTAAGTGTAGGTTAGACTACAACACACCGTCTGACTCATATAATGACTGTTGAACTGGTTGTTCTAGGTGATAGAGTGTTGAGATCAGTGCGTGTTGCTTCAATGCGTGTGTGTTGCTTCAATGCTTGTGTGTTGCTTCAATGCGTGTGTGTTCATCTGTGGGAGACACTTGAAGTGATTTATAAACAAAGCAGCTAACCGGAGTAACAGCATGTTTCAGACCAAGTGTAACCCGAGAGTTATTCCAAGATCTGATCGCAGTTTAATCCGTCTCAGTGAATGTTGAGTCAGCCACTGTAGCTATCAAAGTTGGCTTTGTGTGGCAATGTGTTAAAGAGTTTAAAATCAACCACGTCTACGCTGTGCAACACACACACACACACACACACACACACAAATTATTAACATAACACAATCTTAAAGAGGCATGGTTTGATTGAAGCCAAATTCAGCAACAAGGCGATTTAAAGTGCTTTACACAAGACATCGACATCATCATGACGAAGTGAAAAAGAAACACGTGTGAAGAAAATGCTGACAAAATGTATTAAAACAGCCGATCAAACCCAAAAAGGCGATAACAATCAAGTTAAAAATGAAGGAATAATCAATCAGTCGTCATTTATTATAGCCTAGAGACGCTTTACAAAAGAGCATTATGGGATAAAATGCAGGAAGGATTTCTCCTTTGCATTCCTCGCGTTCCCGTTGTCCACACTTCCTTTGCCGTTGAGGTGCAGGTCGTGCGTGAATGAGAACGACGGTGGTTGTGGGGACGACGCAGTCCGATGGTGGGTGGGCGTTAGGGACGTCGGAATAAGACAGAAAGAATGAAAGAAACCAGCGAGAACATGCCATCAATAAATCTTTATCAGTGATATAAAGTAAGGGTTATTCAAGTGTTGTGATTATTGTTTTGCAAAATGCATCAGCAGGAAAATGATCACGTGTGTAAAATACCAGTATGACCCTTTAAACTTAAAAATAAAGACAAGTGCAGCTTTAAATGTCACATTTTTAAATGAGGTTTGGCATGTGGAGGACTACAGAGAGTTACTACTCTGACCACATCGCTGACATGCTCTGTTGCTTTGGGATCCGGTGTGAGGGCTGTCCGGTCTGCTTTGACATGTCAGACATATTGTCTTTGAAATCAGACACCGACAGGGCGACGGATAATAAATAAAGTTTTAAAGTTGTGGTTGTGACATTTGAAATGAGCAGGATGTTGTGTTTGTTTTTTGCAGAGTCCTCAATACTACAGCTGGATGATCCGGACTGTGAGGAGGGCAGCAATCCACCCTGCGAGTCAGTCTTCTCACTTAACGCAGAGAAGATCCTGGTGAGATCACGCACGCACGCACGCACGCACGCACGCACGCACGCACGCACACACACACACACACACACACCGCCCTCTGATCTAGAACTGGAGACAGTCTGTAATGGTTAAAAAAAAAAAGTGGTTTCATGTCAAGTGTGAACAGCTTGTGCTTATCAAAATGGACTAACTGTACCTCCTGCTAAATATCTGTACAAGAGTAACTCAGTTTTTTACACGTTTGAAATGTTCACTTCTTGTTTATAAAATGCTAAAAAAAAATATTTTTTTGCGCAATTTGTGCCTTTATTAGATGAAGAGAGCGAGGAAGTGTTCGGAAGAGAGAGAGGGGGAAGACATGCAGCGAAGGGCAGAAATCGGGTTTGAACCCACGGTCTCTGCCACGAGGACTATAGCCTGTGTACATAGGGGTGTGTTACACAACCGCTAGGCCACCGGCGCCTCATGTTACTGTCATTTAATAACAAAACTTACATTATGAAGTGTTACTTTCAGTTTCATAAACAATTATTTTATGACTTTATAGTAGAGATAGGACAGTGGATAGAGTCAGATATCAGAGACAGAGAGAGTGGGGTAGGAGCCACAGGTCGGACTTTAACCCGGGCCATCTGCTTGGAGGACTACAGCCTCCGTACATGGGGGTGCACGCACTAACCACGAGGCTACCAGCTCCCCCTGCTATGAACTTAACCTGAAACATGTGCAGCTGAATCTCTAATAGTCTGTTATTTGGAAAGATGAAGCAGAAGTGCAGAGTGCTGATGCATATCAGAGATAAAGAGTCAACAAGCTTTAAAAAAAAATCAATCACTTCCTCTCCTCGCTCGACAGTTTCAGGTCTGTTTGCACCCCCGGCTGCGTCCACACACACACTCAGTTTGTTTTGAAAAGCAGAACTTCTGCTGTGTGCAGGCCTCATATCACAACTTATATCCAGAGTTATGAAACTCCTAAAACACGGGCTCTCTTACAAACACTGCTCACCAAGTCTGATTTCAAGAACACGTGATTGTGTTGCAGTGAGGAAGAGGAGATGCAAAAGGCTCTGATGATGCAGAACCATCCATGATCCATGTTTGTTTCCTGATGATCAAGTTGTTCTCACTAAAAGTTTTATCATCCAAAACAAACACTGAGCTTTTGGTCTTACTTTTTGCAATCGCTTTTCTGCAAGCAAGCAGCTACAGAGTATACAACACACACACACACACAGACACACACACCCACACACACCAAACCACACAGCAACTGTTGGTTAATGTTAATGTGGTATGGCAGTTTGCATATCTTTTCATCCTGCAGTGCCACGTGTACTTTCTTTTCTTGTGTTTTCTCTGGGTTTTTTTTCAGCCTCTATCTAAAGGGAATGGTCAATTCTAGTCTTTTATGATACTCTAATTTTTTAAGACTGTTGTAACTTCCAAGACGGGGATTTTTTGGGACTTTGTGTGTTTTTAAAATAAATAAATAAATAAATAACAAAGCTGGGAACTAGTTCATGATATGAAACAGAATTGCAGAGATTAAAGTCTTAATTAGAAAAGTACGGCGCCCCTGAAGTCCCAAAAAGTCAAACTCTTCAGTGCACAAGAGATTTTATTTATTTATCCTTTCTTTTAGCAGGGGGGACCCACTGAGACCGACATATAAACTGTCATAATGATCGATGAAACAGTTAGACAAGATAATGGCATAAACGCTGAAACACATGTTCAAAGATTTCACATTTTAAAACATGTTCCTTCCCTCAGTATTTGAGACACTAGCTCTTTAAAAAACGCCGTATGAAACGAGAGAGGGCAGCTTAGCCTTCCTTTTGAAAGTTATGCCACAGAACGGGTGCAGCAACTCTGAAATCAGTCTTTCCCCCCTTCAGTCCTAAACCACAGTATTTTCTAAGTGATCCAGCTTTGAGATCTGGTTCTGGAAATGTTTATAGACAGGAGAGTCGTCGAGTAAGGAAGGGATGGTGGAGCTTTCTTTGTTGACCCAACGAGGGCCGGCCTGCAGATCAATACTGGACACAGTGATGCGTTTGTCTCTGATCTCTGAAGCGATGAAAGGGCTTTTCTGTCTTTGTCAAATGAAAGATTTGAACGTGTTTGTCGTAGCCTCAGACCACATTTTTTCTAAGGTGTGGTTGCTGCTTAAACCACGCCCAACGGAGGTGTCAGGTTTGACGCAGGACATCTCTTCATTAGTTATTTTAACATCATTTGTTTGGCCAATGGGAGTAGAAACCCCGGAGCATTGAAGCGTCACAGAGAGAAGGAAATCTCCCTCAAAGTGTTGACATCATCATAATGGTTGCTGCTACGTTTCTTTTCTTTAAACCTCTCTGTGAGGATGAATAAACGTGACATGGGGGTTTAGCTTGCCGGCCTTTTCTACTTGCTGGTTTTGCAAAACCCAAACTGCTGCCACAGCTACATTTGCACACAGTCAAATGAACCTCCTGTAATGATGTTTGCATTGTGTCATTCTGCTCCTCTCCTTCTGGGATTATATACAGTAAATACAAGGTGACACTTTGGAGGAAACTCGATCTTCAGGAGGAGACGCTGAGTGTTTAGAACTGCACAAGGATTCATTTTGCTCTCATTACGAGCGTCCCTGAACTTTGACAGGATGTTTCCTCTCTTCTGTTTGGCTGGTTGATCGGTTTGAACCTCGAGAGATGCTGCAAAGCTTTTAAAACAAAAACCTCCTTTTAACTTAACAGAATGTCCTCGAGAGAGGTTTTAAATGAACAGCTGCACACAAATAAACTCTTCAGCTGTTCAAATTCTCTCTAATAAGTCGAGTCAAGTCACATTTATTTATAAAGTGCTTTTACGCAGCAGCTGACCAAAGTGCTGTACAATGCATTAAGGAAACAATATACAGGAGTTTACAACGTTTATAAGAATAAAGAAAGTGTAAAAGTGCTTTGAGTATTCAGAAGACTAGAAAATAACTACACAAGTTCAAGTCCATTTACCAAGAGTCAACAGAGGGGGCAGACTTGATGGAAGGGGGGGGAGGCTATTCCACTCAAAAAGCACGATCACATTTGAGCGAGGGGACAGCCAGGAGGACGATCTAAAGGGCCTGGATAAAGAGTGCAGGCTAAGGGGGTCGGTTATTCAAGGGGGCGTCCAAGCCGTTCAGGACTTTAAAAACAGAAACAGTGCAACCTTCAAATCGACAGTTAGGTCGTCAAAGTTTTTAATACTTCACCAAAACAAAATAATCCCAGGACCGAAGCTTGAACACACTGCAGCTCTTCAGTCGTGTTTTAACCCACCAAAAACAAAAAGAGCTAGCAGTCTTTCAAATTAAAAGGTCGGCATATACTGACGTTTCTCTCGTCCTTTTGGGGTCTCATAAAGATGCATAAGGGATGTTTATATCTCTTTTATACTCAGAGCAGAGGAGGAGATTCTGTCTAAATTGCACAAATATATCGGCAACCATTTGGTACATATGTGCAGTTGAGACAGCGTGCAGGAGTTTCCCTTCATGGATGCCGAGGAGTTCGCTTTTTGAAGCGGTTGTATCAAACTGGGAGTCAATATCGTTTGATTTTTACTCGTATAGAACATTTAAAATACTCTAAACCTCTAATCCTTTTAATGAAACAGAGAACATGTCTTCACTTTTGAGACTCTCCGTGTTGTTTTGTGTGTTTCTCCTCCTTCACACACAGGAAACCCAACATTTAGTTTCCTGTGTGACATTTCTGTCTCTGTGTGTTTTTCTTTTTTTTCACCTGTATGTGTTGCTGTGTCGTTTCTTTTCTCTCTCTCACAGAACCAGGCCAAGTTGTTTATAGAACAGAAAAAAATCCCCTTCCCCGTAGATAACCACAACACAAACGAGGAGCTGGGTGAGTGTTTTGGTTTTCTGTACAACTCTCAATTCATGAACAGATTGGTCTGATCCTGGTTGGTCATTATTGTTTGTTTCTGTCTCTCCGCAGCTATAGGCTATGTTCTGATAGCCAACGGTCTGTATGATGAAGCCATCAAACACTTCTCCTTATTATTACAGGTGTGTTCACAGCTGGAGACTCACACATGAACTACACGCTCCATTTGTGTTCCAAACAAGACGCTAACCCCTGCCTCGTTTTTTTGTCTTTGAAACAGAGTGACCCGGAGCTGGTCAGCGCCATCTATGGGAGAGGTATAGCTTATGGGAAGAAAAGTTTACAGGTGAGTGATGGATGTTAAATAAACCTGCTCTCTGGTTCATTTAAAAACACATTCATAATCTTTAAGGCCGAGTGTCCATCTAGCGTTTTTTTCTGGGCAGAAAAGTGTTTGTGTACTAAGAAGAAAAGCGCTGCACGTCCTTCCTGTCTCTATGACAACAGCCTGTTTTTTTTACTGATCAAACATGGAGCAAAGAGGATGACACAATCGATAGGGCGGCAAAACTACAGGGAATATTACATATTGGGAAAAGGAGCGCTGGTGAAGATTTTCACCTTGAGCGCTCAGAGCGGCCGCACAAAAAAGGCGGAGCACTCAGGAAAAATAAGAAGCTGGGCGCTGCGCTTTTTCCTCAGGGCGGCCGTCTGCTGCAGAGAACGCTCTCTACACATAGAAAACAAATTGAAACAAGACGCTGCCGCTCAGAGAAAAAAAAAATGCTAGGTGGACACGGGGCCTCATTTCTTAATCTCTATGTTTGGTCACTGTCTCTGTCAAATGTTACTGTCATTACTTTTTGTTTTTTCTGCCCCTTGAACGCACCACTGGGGTATTAAGGTAGTTGTAGGTTATAGAAAGCAAACTACAGAGCTGAGGTTTTTATTTAGAGAGACAACGTAGCGTGCAGGAGTTAGACTCGACAACTTAGAAATTGGGAAAAAAGAATCAGTCACAGTTTAAAGTCACAGATTTACAAAACAAAAGGCTTTAAAAAGACTTCTTTGTGTGACCACGTCTTTAATATGTGCAATAAAAAAACAAAACGTGTCTACTCGCCTATCGACCATAAAGATGAGATAAATGTCCCACGTCGTTCATGAGCAGCCCGTCTCGTCAATCATTCATCATTTCTTCAGGTGCATTAGTGAATTTACACCGTGAGAAAGTAATGACTAAACCCCATAGTTATTATTAACACTTTGGATTTCCTCTTGAAGATATGAAACAAGAGATACAAAGAGGTTTATTATGGGGGGGAAATGTCGCCTGATGTTATGAGTCAGTTGTGTGCTTTAACTGTCATCAAGGTGTAAAGATTATTCACAGCAGATGACTCACGCTTCTCAAGTTACATTTGTCTGTTTTGTCTGTACTGATGAGCTGCCTTTATTTATTTCTGTCTCAAAATCTCCTTTAAATGTGTTTGAAATCAACTCCTGTTAATGTCATTTATACCAGATAAGATACAAATATTTATTTTTGGGGGGTTTTCATGCCTTTATTTTTTTTATAGATAGGACAATTGATAGAGTCAGAAATCAGAGAGATAGAGAGGTGAGTAAAAAAAGAGCCACAGGGAGGGTTCAAACCTGCGACTGTCGCCTCTGTACATGGGATACATGCCTGCCACTAGGCCACCGGCGCCCACTTAACACCTTTTCTTACTGAAAGTCACCCTGCTATTTGGCAGATCAGGGAGTCTTTGTGACTGTGTTTTGGGGTTTTATTTGTCTGAAAATAAAAGGCATGCTGGACGTCATTGACAGAAGCCGTTTCAGGTAAACGCAGAATGACTCGGTGTGTCGTCCTCTGAATACACACTCAATCTGCCTGGTTGTTACAGGATCATGTTCTTCAGAGAAAAAGCTGGAAGGCAGTTTTTTTTGTCTGCGCTTATACTTCTCTTATATATTTATTAAGGTTTGGGTCAGCTAATCGTGTCTGCCTCTTGTTCCTCTGTCTCCTCGTCAGGACATAAAGAATGCTGACTTGGCGTTGTACGAGCTCAACAGAGTCATCACCCTCGAGCCGAACTGGCCCGAGGTCTACGAGCAGAGAGCAGAGGTGAGACTGACCCCCAACACAGACATTATTAACCCCTTCATTACTGTTACTTCCTACAATCACTTCAGAAGTGTTTAGAAGTGTTTCACTCTGAGATTTTTTTATGAACCGTTTCCTCTTATTAAAGGTCACATATTATTCTAAATACACTTGTATACACTCATATGTGTCTCTAGTCTGTCTACAAATCCCCAACAATGAGAAAAGTCCATCCTCTCAGTCTTCTGCCTGCTCCACTTTTCAGAAAATGTGTGCTCAAACAGGCCGTTTGGAGATTTTCCCTTCATGACATCACAAAGGGCAGTAGCCCCTCCCCCAGGTGGGTGACACTCCCACAGCTAGGTGTTTGTTCTGTCCTGAGTCTGCCTTCTCACCGTAAACAATAGGACATGGAGCGAGAAAGCCAGAGCTACCTCTCCTTCCAGAGAGGGGGCGTGGTCAGACACAGCTCATTTACATATTTAAAGGTACAGACACAGAAACAGCCTGTTCTGAGCAGGGCTGAAATAGAGGGGTTTATAGACATGATCAAATACAGGATCAGAGTGGATTTAGAACAAGAAGCTTCACAGACATTTTTCGGGGAGCTCTGAGACTTCTTTAAACTGGTTGAAATGGAGGAGAATATGTGACCTTTAACCTTTACGACACAATCAATCAATCTCCCGAACAATTCACACAAAAACAGACATTTCTCCATATTCTCTGAGCCTATAACGATATTATTTACAGCAGATGATGAAGTCCTCAAATTCTTAGCAAGTTTCCCCGTAAGGCTTCTGTGACTACGTCTGAAGATAGTACAGAGGGAGGGATCACTTGCAGTTTGATCAACTGCAGTTTGAAGGCAAAACTTCACAGGAGGAAAATGACTCCTACCTTTTCTGTCTTTTCCCTCAGCCCTCAGGTTTTGTAAATAAAACGACCCAGTGTTTCCTAATATGTCGTCAAATCCACTTGATGGTAAAAGCATATTTACACTGTAAGGCATGTGTCCATCTTCAGATCCTGTCTCCTCTCGGTCGTATCAGTGAGGCTCTGGCTGACCTCACTAAAGCCATCCAGCTGCAGCCGTCGGCTCGTCTGTACAGACACAGAGGAACGCTGCTCTTCATCTCAGAGGTTTGATTTATAAACACGTCCTGTTTGTGTGTGTGTGTGTGTGTGTGTGTGTGTGTGTACATGTTTGCCTCTATTCTGATCCTCGGTCTTGTCTTCAAACCAGGACTATGTGGCAGCTATGGAGGACTTCCAGCAGTCTTTAGAGCTGAAGAAGAATCAGCCCATCGCCATGTTGTACAAAGGCCTCACCTTTTTCCACAGAGGCATGCTCAAGGTAAGAGACATGGAAATATCAGACTTTGGACAAATTGCACAAGATCTGCAATAAACGCTTAAGAAGTCACATTCTCTCACCTGATTGGCAGAAATGGAACTTCTTACACGCCACACGTGCCTTGTATTTTGCCTTTATATGCATGTCTTATAATAATAATATTAATAATACACAAATCTGGACTTTGTCAGGTGAATGTAGCTTATATGAAGGGTAACAAGATATTTATGGCTCAAAGTGTGACAGATACATTTTCTAAGATTTGTGTTTTTGCTGTGTAATCTTAATAAGGTGTTACGGCCTCTTTAACATACAATAAAGTAAACCGAAAGAGGAGACCAAAACATATATAGACTTTTAAACCCTGAGCTTTATTTAAATAAGATTACCCCCCTCAGGAAATAATACCATTTAAGGAACACACAAAAAGGACTGGAGATCCGGCCAAACAGAAGAAGAGATTGGAAAGTCCCGAGCCAACCACGTAATGGGACACTGCTCTTGGCCCCTCCCCCTTAAACCACATAATAACAAATTAAATCTGCTGAAACTCAAACGAACAAAAGTAGGACTACCGTTCCCTCCAGCCCAAACTAAAATATCAAAACCCCCTATTTTCAGCGACAGCCGCTGAGATGTCATCTCCAGAACATCTGCTGCTTTCTGAAAAACAAACATCCAACACATAATGCCTCTTCTGTTTGGATACTGATTCAGTGAAATAAAAGCACAACATTAAAATCCTTAAGTTAAGCCTCGAGTCTTTTTTTCTACAAAACAATCTGTAAATCCACGACCCGATGTCAGAACCCTCTGCTGAGTCAGAATCTCACATCTATCCATCTTCCCTATTTCCATTTCCTGTTTACTCTGATTTGTCAATATGGGTGAGAAGTTGTGTTTGTCCCTCATCAGGAAGCCATCGAGACGTTCAAAGAGGCTCTGAAGTTAAAGTCTGACTTCATAGACGCCTATAAAAGTCTCGGACAGGCCTACAGGTGCGTCATCTATCTTAACTCGCTATGTGGGTTTTTGTATTTTAAGGATTTGAGCGTCCTACTCCCCCCCCCCCCCCCTCCCTGTGCCTCACTAATCCTCACAGCTGCTGTCTTTGTGTTCTCTTCTTCCTCTTTTCCAGAGAGCTGGGGGATTTTGAGTCGGCGATGGAGAGCTTCCAGAAAGCCCTGATGCTGAACCAGAATCACATCCAGTCGCTCCAGCTCCGAGGGATGATGCTGTACCACCACGGCTCGCTGCAGGAGGCCATAGGCAACTTCAAGGTAGACGATACCTCTGCTTGTATACTTAATAACTTCAACTGTGCGCATAAGACCCACTGCATGTCCAAAAGATCTGTCGTGGAGCCCTTACATTTCTGTTTTGTGTGTTCCTCGCCTTTCAGAGGTGTCTTCAGCTGGAGCCGTACAACGAGGTGTGTCAGTACATGAAGGGGTTAAGTCATGTGGCGATGGGCCAGTTCTACGAGGGGAATCAAAGCTCAGACTAAAGTCATGCTGAACGACCCTCTGCTGGGACAGAAAGCCAGCTCGGAATACCTCAAAGTGAAATACCTCAGAGGTAGGTCGCCCTGCATGCACATACACACACACACAAAGTGTTTAGGAGCAACATGTCAGATATCTACTGAATGAAATGATAAAGTGACCTCACTATCTGATCAGACATTAAGGAAACATGCTATGTTGAAGTGCTGGCTTCTCTGACAACAATGCAGCAGCCAGTATGTCCTCCTTCTAACTTTAGATTCTGCTCCTGAAGGCTCTGGATTTGTTCTGAACAATTCAATTCAATTATGTTTGTATATCACATTTCATACAAACGTAAACAAAAAAAAAAAAAAAAAGTGGATTCAAGAGTTTACTTTAAACCAAAACATATTTTTAAAAGGACCAGAGAAGGTAGGCCAGCAGGTGCTGCAGCGATGGAAGCGGGCGAGAGAAGTGGTTCAGATAGAAGTGATTGTACCCGACCTAAAAAGCCTCTGCATGTTTCTAATAAGCTCCACGAGCAGAAACGTGCTCAAACTAGGATCAATATTGGAGATGCTTTTGAAAAATGGAGAGAGGTTAGAACACAGAAAGGTTTACAGACCCATGCAGAGCTGGATAAACACTGAAGCTTCAGAGTCCACCACATGGTGACCTGTGTGAGCATCCACTCTAGAGAGGAGGAGGGGGGAGACAGCTCTCTACAATGTTTTGGATTTCAACTGCAGTACCGATTTTAAACTCTAGGAGTCTGAGTTACATATTGCTCCTTTAAGATATTTTGTTTCACTGCTTTAAAGACAAAACTGAAATGCTCCGTGTAATTTTCAGTCCTGAACCTCCGCATGTCATGAGAAACGTTGGCCTGAGTTTACATTATGGACTCTTAACTTTTATAGATTTTTGTGCAGCTGGCACATGTGGATACATTTAATACAGGTATACTTTTGTAGATTTTCACATCAAGGCTTAGCTAAAATAGTTCTTTAATTTGTTTAACCAAACATTTGAAAAAGAAACATCTTCACTGCAAGAATAACTTCAAAATAAAGTCAACTTATGTCAGGAAAAAACGCCTTATTTTATAGAATTAATAATTTCTGTTTTTTATGACACATGAGAAAAAAATGAATATTTATTTAAACACTTCTGATGGCTAAATTTAGATTTAAATTGAATATATGTGCTCCTCTTAAATCTGATGTTCATTTTGTCCCTCATTATTTTTTTTTATCAGAGTACTCTCGTTACCTGCACTCCCACCTCGACATCCCCGTAGTAGAGTACAACGTGGACCAGGACTTACCGGGGAACTTCAAAAATCACTGGGCCAAAAACTTGCCATTTTTAATCGAAGATTATGAAGAGCAGCCCGGCCTGCAGCCTCATATCAAGTAGGTCTGAAGGGGTCGACGATAACACGTTTCATTCTATGAGCAATAAGCTGCAGAACCTGCTGAAATATAAACTGTTTATTCTTTCTTGTCTCTGCAGATATTGCTCTGACATTAAAGCAAATCTCAAGATATTGTTACAGAAGGATAAAACACAACAACATATATGATTTCAGAAAGATGCATCTTCTTGTTTTAGATTAAAAAAAGTATAAATAAGATCTTTTAGTGAAGGTCTTTATTCCTCAGGTTGTTTTTTTTTTGTGTGAGTCCACATTCAACATCTCCCTGTGTTTGTGGTTTACAGAGACGTGCTGCCACAGAACTTTGAAAGCTACAGCAGTGAAGTCCAGAAGTTGATCTGCACGGCCGACCACCTGGGGGCGCTGATGCAATACGACACTCCTGGTTTCTTACCCAACAGAAGGATACACAGAGGTACCACTGCTGATGATCACTTAAGTTGATTAATAATAATAATAAGTCTTTCTTTGTACTGATCACGTGTTCTGTGTGCTCGCTCAGCGATGGGTTTAGCGACCCTGGAGGTGATGCAGGCCATGCATCGAACGTGGAGTAACTCCAAAGTGAGAGTCAACGGCAAGACCAGACAAATGCAGTGGCGGGATATGTTTGACATAGCGGTTAAATGGAGAAGGTGAGGTTTTTATTTTTTATTGAAACCCTTATTTAACTTCAAATCAGCCCCTTTAAAAATCCTCCCAATAACTGCACTCCAAAGGGACATGGTACATCAGTCCCTGTTGAACATTTATTATGGGTTTTAAATGGTCATAAATGAAGAAGTACAGGGGTAAAGGACAATTCATCAGCATTGAATGAAACTCTATTCAAAAGAAGAGTGATGTAGACGGCTTCTACGTTTGATTCAAAAATCAGATCTTTGTGTTTTTTAGGATTTCAAGTTTCTCTTAAAGCGTCCGTGTGTCCCTTTGGTTTGTCTGGTGGAATGAACCAAAATCACCTTAACTGTTTGTCTCTCTGCCATGTGTCCATAAAAACATTTCTTGAATCTCATGAAAAGCTGTTGAATCATATTTGTCTTTAGGAAATCACACAAAGTAACCTGAACACACAGGAGCAAAAGGATTAAGCATTTATAAAAGAACCATGATAACCATCAGTGTGCTGTTGCAGTGCTCGAATCGGTCTTGGTGTCTCACTCCTCTTCTTGTTCCTCGGCCTCTGGACTGACACACTAAACAGGTTTTTCCTCTTCTTCTAGGATCGCCGATCCAGACCAGCCAGTCCTGTGGTTAGACCAGATGCCGGCCCGGAGTCTAAGTCGAGGCTTCAACAATCACATCAACCTCATCAGGTGCTCAGACACTCCTCCTCCTCATCAACAGCTGCTCGGCCTCGTTCGGGGTGTTTCTCAACTTTGTAGTGCTAAACCCTTCCTTTCAGATTCTTTGAAATACGACCCAGTTTCTTTGAGTTTTTAATTCAGTTCTGACAGATTTCGCTTGAAGCCTTTCTTCTTCAAAGATATATTTTGACAGTGTGTTTGAATAATCTCTTTTTTTTAATCTGATCTGTATTCCTTCAGGGGACAGATTATCAACATAAGATACCTGGCCTACTTCGACAACATCCTCGACTTCATCAAAGACAGAATCCTGGTGTATCACGGGTAAATCACACCAAAACGTCCCCGACTTTTTCTGTCTTCTTCAGACTAAAACACATGAATCAGAATGGTTTGCACCGTCTCTGCTGCTGAAATGAATTCATTTATTCCACCCCTCACTCTCTGCATTCACTTGAGAACTTAGCCGCCCTTAGTGCTAACACATCTTAGCCTGACCTTAGCCCTCTGACAGCTGCTTATTTGCTGCCAACATCTGCTCGTCTCTTCAAATCATAAGACCGCAGTTATGATAACACGCTCCTCTTCTGCATCCTGCCATCAAAGCAGAGTTATGTAAATCTGTTTTTTTTTCCTCCAGGCCTCGATTAATTTTGCATGAACATGTTGAGGAAGCGTCTCATGAATATTTCTTCTTCTGTTCTCTCTCTCTCTCTGCGTCTTCAAATAAATGAACTTGTTTTGTGTCTCAGGGCGTACAACCCAAGAGGACTCCTCGAGGTCCGGCAGGCGCTGGAAAATGTGAATAAAGTAGAAGATCTGCTTCCTATAATGAAGGTAAGGACGAACAAAGAAGATACAATGGGTTAAGAAAAAATTATAAAGCGAGACAAAGATGTCTGTATGCCCAAACTGACTGGATTTAAAAACATATTCTTGTACACAGTTGATTGAACAATGAAAACTAGAAGAAAATAAAAATTCAATAGAACTTTTAAATCAAGAGTTTGCAAAGTGCCTTGACCAAAAAGCAAATTACAAACAAAGTAGGCAGCAAAACAAACTCACACACCATGGGCAGACAGCACAGACAACACAGCAAAGACAACATGAAGGTACAGTGAATACAAAGATAAACCAAGGGGACAAAAGATGTAACAATGTAAAGTCTGTATGTCAGCATCTTGCAAAATGACTCAACTCAATTGGAGGTGCTGACAGGAAGTGACCAGAGGCAAAGCACAACATCGACAGCTGTTCTTGAGAGCTCTAATCAGCATCAAAATCATCTTAAATATCATCATTGTAGGTGTGTGTAAGGGTTCATGACTCTGCAGATCCAATGGAGTTCATTCCACCACCAGGGGGCGACAGAGGGGAAGAGTCTAGTCAGTGTTTTAGGGCCCTGATGTGAAGGTTTGGATCAGACGCCTTTCATTATCAGAGCGTAGTGAGTAGACCTAGAGGAGAGTGTTTAGGTAAGGAGGAAGAGGTTTTTGTTACCTAGCAACAAAGTTTCAGATGAACAGCAGACTACCCAAAAGGATATAAAAGTGTCCTCTTTTTTATATTTTTGTAAAGTTTTGATTCTACTTCACAGTCCTGATCAGTAGGGTCATTTTTATTTTTGGTTTCCTTTTTTAAAAAGTAAGTTGACCTCGAGTTGAGATTGTTTGTCAGCATCTGTTTCCATGACGACGCAATACAAACACATAAAGATGCAGAGTTAAAACAGTGCAATAAAAAAAAGCAAAATAAAAAAGGAGTAGTCTATAATGATGAAACAATGACGAGGATTATTCGTCATTATCAAGATCAAAAATGAACCTTCAAACTTTCATGTTTTCTAAGTTTAAATGTTATTCTGCAGTAATTACACCTCGTCACTTTGCGGCTTGTAGTTTGTCTCGTCGTTTCTCAGCAGTGAAAACCCAGGATGTTTGTTTTTCTGTGCGTGTTTGTTTCCTGAAGCAGTTCAACAGTAAAACCAGAGATGGCTTCACGGTCAACTCCAAGGTGCCGAGCATGAAGGATTCTGGGAAAGAGTACGACGGCTTCACCATCACCATCACGGGAGACAGGTACGAAGTCCGCCGACACCATGTGATATACAACCTGACCTCTGCCCTTTAACAGCACTCACATGGGTTATTAATCACAAATAAAGGACATGTTATTGATGTGTATTTATTCTGTATAACTCTTACTAATCTGGTCGTCTGTACGTCAGGGTGGGGAACATGTTATTCTCAGTAGAGACTCAGACGACTGAAGAGCGGACGCAGCAGTACCAGTCGGAGATCGAGTCCATCTACAAAGACCTCACGGCCAAAGGAAAAGCTTTAATGCTCTCCACTGAACTGGGGGTAAGAATGACCTCTGCATGTTACTCACTGTGTGTCTCATACTGTGCACGGTGTCGCACTCTGAAGCGGCCCGGTTCAGTTCAGTTTGGTTCACTACACATTCATTGTCAAAAGTTGGAAAGGGTACCTAAGAGCTGATCTGCACCATTCTGATTTTTTGGTACCCAAAGCAGTGGGATTTTAAGCGCACCAATCCGACCCTAAAGGTTGGAGCTAGACACTGTGGTGTCTGTTGATTGGTCGAAAGAATCTTCACTTCCCGTGTGACAAAACGCACCATGTTTAAATATTTAATATATATAGATTTGTAGAGAGTCATTTTAAGGCTGTTTTTGTGTTTTTTGCTTCAGAGATGCTTCCTATGAATCATTGATTGAGTTTGTTTACTCTGTCACATTCTTCTTATTTGTTTAATTTATTGACTGTTTGCTCTTTGTCACCGCCGCTGTGATTTTAGTGATGTGGAAACGCAAGCAAGATCAAAGTTTACTGAACCAAACCGGACTGCTTGGTGGAAACAGCTCTTTATTTATCCTGAGAGCACAAGTCAAATAAAATAAAAAACGACAACCTTGGCTTCAGGGGAATTGAAGAGAGCCACATTTAACTATTCTATGACATTTTATGAATAATACATCCAATAATGGAGAATAAATGTCAGATTCAGACAAAAGTTGTTGTTCCAGTTGTGGGAAACGTGAGTTAAATCAGGTGAAGTGATCCATGAGAATCGGCTCATGGCAGCATCATGAGATAATGACACAGAATGTAAACTCGGGCCGGCGGCTTTAACACATGTAGAGAGACTCTGATGTCCATCCCAGCATCACTTCAGTCATCGACATCACCTCCTCTTCTGCAGAAATAAAACATCAGATTTCAGTTTTTCTAGTCGTGCAAACTATGGAAGGAATTCAACGAACTCTTTTGGGGAAAGTCGGAAATATTTCATAAATTGACGACGGAGCAGGAATGTTTTGAAATGTGTTTTCCAGACGGATGCTGTTGATACCTGTCAGAGCGAAAAAACAGAAGTTAGTGAAATATAATCAAACAATTCACTCTTCGACATCGTTCATCTGAAGGTTTGGATTTCTGTTATTGTGTCCTGATTTATAATGACCCGCTATCCGAGCTCCGATCAGACACGTTAAAGAAAACAAAAGAGCGCTGGGTTGATGACGCAGCAGAGAACTGAGAAAGTTCATGTGCTGGGGAGATGGGGCCGTTTGAGGAGAACATGAAGCATAAACAAAATCAAATGGACACATCCATGATGGGAAAGCGAAACGACAACAAAGAAAAGAAGAAGGCTGCAAAATGATGGGAGCAAGATTCAGGTCCATCATTTTATCGATTCATTTTAATATATTATAATGAAGATCAAGATGAAAAACTGGATTTTGAAAAGTTTCAAGATTTTGATTTGATTTGATTTTGATATACTTTATTAATCACTGAGGGGAAACTCGAGTTTACAATGTTATTTATAGGGACATGCTTCTCACATGCGTAGGCCCCGAATCACACACATGCACAAACAGGACCTGTGGACATTAGTTATTATTATTTATTTATTTTAATACTTTTTATTTGATAGTTTTGAAGAAAAACAACAAAAACTGTCAGAATGAGCATATATACATTTGTATATGGTTTGTATAGAAGATCTACATATAAGTGCTTCATCTATACAAGCATGGATAAATATTTCTGTTATCTCATTCTACGACAGAGAAGAGTGAGCAAAAAGGAAGGTAAAAATAAAAATAAAATAAAAAGAGAGAAAAGGAACAACAGAGCATATCAACTTATCAAATATATTTTTTTAAATAAATAAAAGTAAAAAAATAAAATAAAAAATAGAGAAAAGGAACAACAGAGCATATTAACTTATCAAATATATTTTTTTAAATAAATAAAAAAAAAAAAAAAAGAGAGAAAAGGAACAACAGAGCACATTAACTTATCCAAAAAATAAAATAAAAGTGGGCCTTGGATTGTTCTACTCTAATAGTATTTATTTATCTATTTTTGTCTGTGTTCTTCACCCTCTGCTTGTGGCAGAAGTTTAATGCTTGAGTACACACAAAACTTCGCTCTTTGTTGACCTGTGGACATTAGTGGAGAGATGTCGGAGTGCGGTTGCTACAAGCTGCTATGCAGAGCAGTTTTGGGTTCGGTGCCTTAAGTGCCTCTGCATTTCTCCGGAAGTGTCCTGGCACCTCTCCAGCTACCAGTCCAACTTCCATATCATGGTACGCTCTGGGGCTTGAACCAGCGACCCTCCAGGTCCCAACTCAAGTCCCTGCAGAGTGAGCCACTGACTAGAAGCGCTTGGAGCAGCCACAAAAAAATGGCGGAGCGTAGAAAAAACGGACTGTGGGCGCTGGCTCTCTTCTCCTGCAAACGCTCTCTCCTCATCGGGAAAGTGACAAATGAAGCTGGCGCTCAGGAAGAAAAAGCCGGGTGGAAACAGGCCGTTACAGTGTTTAACTATTATGATGTGATGACCTGCCTGTTAAATGTTTGTTTATTAATGATTTAGAAAAGTTCTCTATAAATAAAGGTTATTCTTGTGACTCTTTTCTTTCATGTTCATAGGATGCAGATGCTGTCTGTAACCTGATCCTCTCCCTGGTTTATTACTTCTGCAACCTCATGCCACTCTCCAGAGGATCGAGGTAAGTCTCCGTCGAGCAGCCTGCAGGCGTAACGTTCTATATTTCCACAGATAAATGCGTGATGAGAACAGGACGTTTTTTTTAATGTTAGGGTTTGTTCTGACAGGTTTAATTACGGTGTAAGTTAACCATCTTTTATCGTAATGATGAGGCGTTCCGCCCTCAGGAAAAATGCTGAAGGATTCTTCTATGGCACAATGTGACAGGAAAATCTTTACTTCAAATAGAGATGGCAAAAAAAGATGATATGAGGATTAATGTAAAGGAGTGATGTGTAAGCCTCTCACTTTAGGGATTTAATGTCATCAAGTATCTGTGAAGCAGGAGGACTGCCCCTCAAACCGTCCTGTTCAAAGTACTGAGGCTGGCAGGAGAAACATATTTACCTATTGAACAGGTTTATGCTCGTAACTGTCGCCGTGGAAACCCACAAATCTGTTCTAGTCATTTGCAGACATCAGTGTGGACGGACTGCCTTCGAGATCTGAGACCTAAATCTAAAGAAATTCTGAATACATCTCGATAGATTCCTGTAGAGAATCCCGTTTGTTATCATGTGGTGTGTAATAGTGGTTTTTTAATCTTCCTCTCCTCAGTGTGGTGGCTTACTCGGTCGTAATGGGGGCGCTGATGGCGAGTGGGAAAGAGGTTATCGGTAGGATCCCGAAAGGAAAGGTAAAACACAAGTCTCTCTTTTTTTTTCTTCTTTTTTTTTACCTAAATGAAAAGTTGTTCTTGTGTCTGAATGTCTTCTTAATCTCTTCAACAAAAACTTCCTGACACAAGAATGATTCTTTCTTTCTTTCCAAGATATTTGAGATATTGAGTTTTACAAACAATAAACATAAACAAACAAAAAGAGGGGTTGGGCATGCACATTACACACTACCACATCGAACACAGTAAGTTACAGAGCAACACAAATAGACTGAATCATGTGGTAGTAGCAGTAATAGCTCCCCCCCACTCATCATCCCACTGTGTTGCTGGATAATTACTAAGGCACAAAGCGCAACAACCTCCACGGAGTCATGCTGAGTCGAGACGCTTCGAGCTAACGAGGTTTGGGTCATGAAAGTAGGATAAGAAGGGTCCCCAGGTCTTAAAAAAACTATTTCTCAGAGCCACTGACAAGAATGATTCTCATAACATCAGATTAATATTAGGGAAGAGTATCTGCATTGACATGAGAAATTAAAAAATCTGCTCTGTTTTTTCTGAATGAATGAGATGTACCTCTGGCTATAAGGTTGTGAACTTTAATTCTTCTCCTCTTCAGTTGGTGGATTTTGAAGCCATGACGACACCCAGTCCAGACAACTTCAGTAAAACAGCCAAAAGCTGGATGACTCTCAAAAGGTGAGCAGACAAACAAAAACACATATCCCACTGTCGTCGTTGTCCCTCTCCTCTCGGCGGCGACGCTCATCTCTCACTTTTTTTTTGTTTTTTCTCTCTCTGTCAACAGTTTGCCGAGTTGGTATCAAAATCTTCCGTCTGTAGCGGAGACGTTCCAATCGACCAGAACAATGTTAGAAGTCCTTAACACTGACTCGTCCTCACACTGTCCGAAGAAGTCCTAACACGACTTCTAGACGGGAGAGAGAGGCGTGTTTAAATAAAAGTCTTAATAACGGAGCTTCTTCACCCCCGGCTCAACAAAAGGGACTCTGTCTTCTTCTGCACCCCAAACACAACAGGACACAGTTCTCCGTTTGCATCTTTAGCTTCAATGTCAATTTTTTGTTTAACATAAAGCGGGAAAAACAAAAACATTATGGGACACATTTAGGAATCAGACTGTGCCTATAACTTTTGGTCCGTGATGAATCTGACGGGATGTGAATGCAAATTAAAAATATTGTTTTGAAGTAGATTTTCCTCCATGAGGTGGCAGCCAATTTGGGTTGTTTGAAACCTAAAATAAATCTGATTTTAACATGAAATTAGGTCTTAAAAGCCTGTCCTGTTCTCTGTCATCCTCCCTGACACATACATCTAAATGTTTTAGTTCTTTTAGTACCACTTTAACCCAATTATTCTAAAAGTATACATGGACAAAATAGTCTTAAATAAAAAGTTTAACTTCGGCTTGACTGGCAGTACTTTGCCTCGGACTTAGCACCACAAGACGACAGAAAAGGCTGAAGTAAGTGATATTTTTCTAATGTTGACATTATCATTTGTACTCAATCGAGCACCACTGTAAACGGTCTGCTTGTTATTTGAACTAGGATCCAACTTAAATGTTTTCTTTTGACCTCAAAATGCTGCTCATCTTTCAGCAGCTGCACTGACCTTTTCTTTAAAAATCGGCTTCTCAATCACTTTAAATTGTCTCTAGAAATGTTGGTGCTTGTTACATCGTCTCACCTTGAATTGATCCCTCGATTTCCACTCTCTCGTATTTTTGGGTGGATGACGGAGGACTGTAGCGTCACAGTTTGGGATGCAGAAGAAGTGATTCTTTCCGACCTTTTCTTCCTTTTCTCTGCTTTTTTTTTTTTTAGGCCTCACATTAAAACACCCGAAGCACAACGTCCATCTCATGAACAGTCAGCATGAACAGTCTTATGTTGCTTAGTCATGGTTTACATTAAAGCTTTGGATCACTTTAGATTGGGAAGTTTGTTTTTGTTTTAGCAACCTAAGAAGGGTCTTTAATTCAACATTCAAGAGTGCATTAACCACTGCTACCACACACACACACACACACACACAGTCCAGCCTATCAGCAGAGAGACAAAAGTTGTGGGATTTTAAAACTATGAAACAAAAAAAAACCTTCAGGTCTATTGAATTCCACTTAGGATACTTGAAGCAGTGTTTCAGGCTGCGGTCACAATCGAGGCTAACGTGATCTGAAGCAGAGTTTTTTTTTGTGGGCTCCCATTTGACTCGGATCAGTATTTCTTTTATGACAATGTGAACAAAACAAATTCATGTGGAAGCTGCTCTTTTTTTAAATCAGGTTGGAGCCACTTTCATATGTGTGTAGTCTGATACAGGCCACATTTCAAAAAGTCATGATAACAGCCAATCAGAACTGAGCACTGAGGCTCGCAGTGTGAACGCAGCCTTCGATTTGTTTTCTTGACACTCAGAGAAAAGTGTCTCTTCTCTTACTAAAGGGTGTTGAACCATTTTGTTTCCTTTTACTGTGACCAACAAAGGATTGGTTTTAAGGTGGGTTGGCTGCAGGAAAGAGATTTAGAGCAACAGTCAGATTTTCAGAGATCATCTTGAGACAAAGTTTTGTGTATGAAGACACCAAGAAAGGACTTTTATTGTGAAGTCAACTTATCCCGCCTAGAAAAAATGAACGGTTAAGTGATTCGAGCTTCTCCAATTTTGAAAACTTTTACTTTGAAAAGAAAAACTCCCGCACACTACTCGTGCTCGGTATCACCAATTTATATAGATAATTAACGTTTCGGATATTGGACTGATGTCGCCGGTCCACGCCACTCATCAAGAAATATGGTTGAGCGCTTTAAACATTCTCAGCTCGTACAGTCACCCTTTGAAGACTAAGCTATAAGAAGTGTCCACAAATGATCAACATTCAGACGTCCTGATGTAGAGGGAAAATATGTTAAATTTCTTGCACTTGAGTTTAAACTTTTAATTTGAAAACCTTACAGATGTTGCTGCTTCCTGTTTGTATGTGAAGCAAGCACAATGCTACAGCTTTAATACAGCTTTGTGTAGCCTTACAGATACTGCCAACAACAACAGTAACATTATTAGATATGATATAAAAAGAATCAGTGTCGGTACATGTGTATCGGATTTGAACTGAAAAAAAGTGGATAGGTGCATCTCTAGTTTAATCCTGTAAGGGAACGTTAACATCCGTTTAAAAGGCATATCTAATTGATTTCCTGCTTCGAGTCTTGTGTTTGTTTTGCTTTGGGTCTTTCCTTCATATCAATGATTGTTCTGGCTGGGAGTTCGTTTCCTGGGTGATCCTGTCATTAAAGTGCTCTGGTGGGTGTTAAAAGAAGAAGACGGAGCGCCATAACGCATCTTAAAGCTCAAAACTTGAAGGAGGGAATGTTTTATCAGATGAGTGAATGAATGTTAAGGAGTCAATAAAACTGGTTTACAAATTTCAAAGCCTCTGTTGTTCTTTTTTTTGTTGTTTTTTTGGAAACCTTTTACTCTCTGGGGAAATCTTCGGAAGCCCGGTAGTGCCAATCTGAACAGGTAAAGAGGAAATTACAGATTGCACTGGCTTTTATTTAAGAATGTATTTTTCTACTTTTTTTTTTTTTACACTAGGTTGATAGTTGTGTTATAGTTATTGAGACATAGATGTAGTGTAATTAATTTATTAAGATATTCTATCTTTATTTAACCTCGGAGCACCACCTTACAAAGTAAGGAAATTAATATTTCTTGTAGTAATTAATTAATCAGTCAGTTTCGTATCTTGAAGGAAGTAATTCTAGAAATATTTAAACCAGAAAACACAGACAAAGTTCTGAATTGTACGTTTAAAATTTAATAAAGAAATGGTAAATAATAAGATACATAAAACAGATAAAGAATATGATTCTTAGGATCGGGATAATGCAATTATAACGTATGGTGACATTATATATTTAATAACGAGCTAAAACGCGGGATTGTTTTGAATGACTTAATCAGCAAATTATCAAAGGAGAAAAAGTTGATAAACAAATTTTGGGATTCTATTTGGATTTAAAGGAGCTCTGAATAAGCACGACTCACGACCTCATCTCTCAACAGCAGCTGTGAACCAACGCTCTTACTGTGAGGTGGCTCGGATTAACTCCGCCGGCTGGTCCCGCGTTTCAGTCTCCGGCAAGCGGCTCTTTTCAGGCCCAGATTAGATGCCTTAGCACCTGGGTCGGAGTATGCAGCTGGGATGGAGATTGCAAGTGGATCCAACAGGAAAAATATTAAAGAGTCTTTTGATGCGTCGATTTCCAATTTAAATTGACCTGATGGCCATCTCCATGAATCTTAATTAAGAAATTGGCATTCAAAATTGAAGAGCCAAGACTTTGGAGAAGAAAGTTCAAAAGCCTTACTAGAGCCAAAATAATTAAAGTTTCAAAAATGTGCGCTCAGAATAAAAGTTCAGCAGAGATTCGTCTCTTAACTCTTAAGGTGATTCGAACTGAAGTCCGAAGAGAAGCGGAAGAAGAAGAGCAAGAACCAGAGATCTGAGCTGAGTCTGAACTTTTATCAGCTGCAAGAGAGGGGGGCCGCCAAGGGTTACTCCTACTCTGACCGGAGGACATTTGTTTAAATTAAACCGAATTTACTTAATAAGATTAAGAATAAGAATCTAAACATATATACGTCACCATACGTTCATCTGCTCCATCATGGCGGACGGTGCGTGCAGAGAGACGCCTGCTCTTGGGATTAAATCGGCCACGTTTAAAACCTGTGATCTATGACACGGTAGATGGAAAACTGATTGTAGAGGATGAATTTCTGAACTTCCTAGCGGTCAAGATAAAGACTGTGAGTCAAGATGAACTTGTCCTTATAGCCTCGAACACCTTTCGATTCTAAGTGGATTGGATCATAAAGAAAGACGCTGTTTGAACTGTGTCCTGACACCAAGCGTTGTGTAGCCTTTAAGGGAGACCAGAAAGACATCAATAGTATTAAAAGTTGCTGAAAGGTGTTGAACGAGTGTGGAGAAAACGTCCCTCACTTTGTCTCACACTACCCGGATTCTAGTTCTGTGCGATACCAGTCATCCTTGTGGCGACACTGGTACATTTGTCTTTTATAATATTGGTGATGTTTTGTCTGTATGTGTTTTTACCTGTGTTTTTATTTTGCTTGTTTTTTTACATGTTTTCTAATGGACTCCTGAGTCTGTCAATAAAGATGATGATGATGATGATGATGATACAGTCAACATTCTTAATAAGACATATTAATAAAGTATGAAAAGAAATTGGTTTCTTTAAATAACACCTATAGCTAATATCAAAGAGTATGCTTTATAACACGGCTAAATGTATAATTATGAAGGTTACGTATTCATGGAAATTCTAACACTAGATGGCAATCAAATTAGAGCGTCAAATTCCTATTAAAACTATATTAACTCTTATTTGTTAACTAAACATCAGATTTTGAGTTTAAAAAGATGATTGCAGTACATTCAATGTGACAATTACAAATATCTAGATGAAGAAAGACATGCTCCCCCTGGAAGATTTTTTTTTGTTTGTTTTTTTAAATATCAGCTTTAAAATGTTAATTCACAGACGGTTTCAGCATTCAGACCTACTGAGGTTGAAGGTTTTAATGGTCACAACTGTGGTGTTGCACACACCGGTAATCTCTGAAGTTCAAGGCTTTAGCGCCACATGATTGAGTCACGTGATCAGGTTCACTGACTGCAGGAGGTCACATGTTTGTTGACTTTACTTTCATTTGAGAGAGTGAAGCAAGCCGGTGATCATGGCTGAGGATGTGGTCGTGTCAGAGGAGACTTTAACAAGTGCTCTGACTCTGTTGGTCAACTGGAGCAAACTCCTGTTAAGTGAAGCCAAAAGGGAGGCTGCAGGTAGGACTGTTTTGATAGAAGGACGCACGCGCAGTGACGGACTGCATTAACAATTTAAAGGTTTTAATGTGTTCCGTTGTTAGATGATGTAAACCCTCTGTAGAGAAGATTTATAGGATGATTCAGATACAACTAAGGCTAATGAGTAATTCGGCGTTCATAATGTAAAAAGTTGAACTTAATTTAATACTTTAATGATGCTGTAAGTAACTGCCTTAAGAGTGTTTTTAAACGGAAGCAGACTGTAGATAGAATCGTGTGAACCAAAAATAAAATAAAAAAGGTAACTCAAGTTCGTGATTATAAAAACATTATAAGAATGCCGAATTGAGTAGATACCAGAGTGATTGTTTTATAGATATTTGTTTTGTTTTATAACACACGCATTACCCCAAATACGTAAAAAAGGATACAAATGTAGGAAATGTAATCGAGGGCTGCTATTACATTTTTATCACGTAAACTAAAACGTCAAAATATGAGTAAAAAAATATACTTTTCACCTAGTTCCCGTGGCTACGTGGCAGTTCTCATGTAATATAGGAAGTAGCAGTAACAATACTCCTTTGAGTATTTAATGGTTTGGCTACAAAGACAAGAAAGTAGATCACTGGGATCAAATTGCTGGATTAAAAGACTCTCTGGCATGAGGGTGGTGTAATTTAATCCATGTCATGCCTATTGCCAACACAGTGGCATTGCACAAATCCATCAGACCCTGATAACTATGGCCCTTTGTTTCCTCTCACAGAATCCCTGGAGGATTTTGTCCCACATAAGATCAGCACTTTGTTCGGCCTGATCACCGCCGGAGCAGACTTCTACAAAAGGTATAAGGTGCACGAGGTGCCGGGGGGGGAGGAGAGGGTGTAGAGGTTAGTGTAAGCGTCCACATGTCCTGCAAGCGGGCGGCCCAGGGTTCAAATCCAACCTGTGTCTCCTTTCTGGCATGTCATTCCCCGCTCTCTCTCTCTCTCTCTCGATTTCTGACCCTATCCACCGTCCTGTCGCTACAATAAAGGCACATTAAGACAAAGTGAAGGTGCACTCAACACCTGCAGGATTGACTAAAGTATTTCATCAGTAAAGTTGTGATCAGTAAAGTGTAAAAGTATTTTTTAACCCCTTGAATGAAAAAGGTTTTCTTGCTGTTTTCCAGCCTTGGGGTGAAGAAGAAGAGTGAAGCAGAGGCCATATGGCAAAAGTCTTATCAGTAAGTATCAGTTTGTAAAGATATGAAATGACGGTGATGATATCGTAAAAGTGTGTCTTTCATTTGAGTTACTCTGCAGTGTGGTCACCATGATCCCACTCGGCACAGTTTCTCCTTCCTGCAACTTCTTGTAGGAATAAAAACCTGACAAAGATGATTGGGGTTTTGTTCATATTCTTCACTGGAAATATTTCGAATTACGAGGTCAAAAATGTTGAGTTATGAGTTAAATATTCTTTCTGGTGTAAATTTACAATTTTATAGTCTGTCCCATTTTATACTGTGCACAGATTTTTGTTTTCTATTATAATTGACATTAACATTTATGTTTCATATCTGTGGGAAAACAGACTCAATGAAAAGCTCGGCGATGACGTGTTGTGTGACAGCTAATAGACAGATTTATAAGAGCGTGTGTGTGGGTGATATGCTCGGGGGGGAAAAACACAATGGAGGATTAGATCAGTGGTGTCCAAACTTTTTTTCTTGCGGGCCAAAATTGTCGTGTTAGAATCGCTCGCGGGCCACAGGTTTTGTTTTTTAAAATATAGTTGAAAAAATATTAAGGCTAATGTAGATCAGAATCAAAAGGCTCGCTAAAGAAACCCTTTAATAAAAGGAAATCAAATATTTTGATTCCTTCGTTCTACTTTATTTGTTTTTTTTTCTCAGAATCGAGTCTGTAACGTGGTTCATTTTTTTTGGAAAAGCTTTCTGCATTTAGCTCAGGTCATTAAATGGTTAAACAACAGTCCGCTTGTTTGCAAAAACTTTGCATATGTTTTTTTTCATAGTTTACAAAAAAATGTGGAAAATAGTAAAAGCTGTAGATTTAAAAAAACAACAACATACATGTTACTGAAGATTTTCTACTTTAAGAATATTGTTCAGCCCTTGTTAACATGAAAAAGAAAAATAAGATAATGTGCCGATCTTAATCGAGGCCTCGGGCCAGAATCTTCTGATTCTTCATTTGAAGTCAAGGGCCGCAAAAAATCCCCTCAAGGGCCACAAATGGGCACTTTGTGGCCCTCAAGGGCACTTTGGACACCCCTGGATTAGATGGTTAATCAAGTTTCTACAGGTCTTTACTAGCAGAGAATGTGTTTCTTCCCTGAAGCATTTATGTGTTTTCATCACGTCATAAAATGTTGGGAGGAAATATGAAAGGGACGAGTTACAAGTTTAGAAACGTCTTTGCCAGAAAACTTCCACCTGGCAAACCTCCAATACAAAGTCTACCATGGCTTTTTATTGTTGTCCAAAATGTGTTTCTTCCTGAAGCATTTATGTGTTTTCATCACGTCATAAAATGTTGGGAGGAAATATGAAAGGGACGAGTTACAAGTTTAGAAACGTCTTTGCCAGAAAACTTCCACCTGGCAAACCTCCAATACAAAGTCTACCATGGCTTTTTATTGTTGTCCAACAAGTCGCTTAAAGCATCAAAGTGTGACTCAGTCATCATCAAACAAGCTCTGAAAACACAAGAACGACCATGAACCCTTGTTATAACCTGCTGCTCACGCTTCAGTGGAGTACAGCTACAGTGGTTAAGCAGCCGTATAATAAGTTATTAACTGTTGTAATTATTGTTTTTAACTTTAATGCCAAGTATTCACACGACCTGTTGTTCTTTTTCCAGCCTTGCAGCAGTGAGAGAGAAGGTGGACGAGCTCCTGCAGGTGGAGGTGTGTACCTGGAATCATTTAAGAAACCTACATAACAGAACATTTAGCTCCATCAGATCGATACAAGAGGAATACACACTCGTCACCAATCATGTGTTTAATGGTTTTATGAAGGGAGAAAGTTCAGAGTAAAAGTGACACTAATAAAGACTCATAAAGCAGCGAAAGGAAAAGTGCTGATCATGCTGAAAGGCCCATTTGTAAATGACGTTTAATTCAGATGTTTTTGGACTATGATCACCATCTTAAACTTGGACATTGCTACATTTAAAGGTGAGGCTTATTTCACTTATTCATACACCGCTTGGTAGTTCACATCATTAAAGTGTTGTCTTAATCAATCACTGAATAATCTTTCATTTTTGTGTGTGAGTTTTATTAAAAAGATAAATACTGACTCTTTATAAACTACAAAAACAAAACAAGACCATCAGCAACAAGATTCACTTTTTGGATAAACTCTGGCCTTTCTAATGCTTGAAACAAGGGAGTGAGTGAAACATGAGTCCAAGATACATTTCCCCAAGGGAACAATAAAGCATATCGTATCATACCGTATCGTGCCGTATCATATCTTATGGTACTGTACCATATTGTATATGATACGGTAAGGATTAGATCTATGTTGAGAAACATTACATGCACAGGCCAAAATTAGCAAATAAATAAGAGATACTATTAAGTTTAAAGGGATGCTAAAATCAACACTAATGAAAAGTTCCTCACAGGAGCTTTGAAATTAACCTGAAAGGAAACTTCAAATAAAAAAATATATAGTTGAATTAATTGTACAAGATTTTCTTCTCCGGTAGCTGGTAGCCTAGTGGTTAGTGTGTGCGTCACATGTACAGCGGCTGAAGTCCTCAATTTAAAAATGTAAAAGAATAAAAATGTAGTAAAATCATTTTAGACATTGATTCTTATAACTTATAACTTTCAAACAAAAGCACCAGATGATGTACTGTGCAGTTTTTTTCTATTTGTTTTGAATGTAAAAGCAGTTAAGGATAGACTTGCTGTACTCATGTTGTGTGTGTGTGTGTGTGTGTGTGTGTGTGTGTGTGTGTGTGTGTGTGTGTGTGTGTGTGTGTGTGTGTGTGTGTGTGTGTGTGTGTGTGTGTGTGTGTGTGTGTGTGTGTGTGTGTGTGTGTGTGTGTGTGTGTGTGTGTGTGTGTGTGTGTGTGTGTGCAGACTGAGTGGGACTTGTTCCTGGAGAGTGTGGACAGCGGTCTGCAGACGACAGGCGACAGACAGCCTGCTGGAGGACACACAGCAGACAGCCTGAGCCCTGACACTGAGTTCACTGACGCACGCAGCAGAAAGTGAGTTCACCATGAGGAGGGGGGATGTTTGTGTTCAGCGCGACACTTTCTACGTTTAACTAATTTGTTAGAATCAGTAAATGAAAAACCAGTCCGCACCATCGGCTAGTTTTTAGGCGTTTATCAGATTTTGTTGTATCGTTGTTGATTTTTGGAGCTGTTTGTGCTTTGTGTGTTCACAGGAGTGTGACTCTGGGTCAGTACCTGGGTCAGGGTCAGAAGCTGCTGCTGGTTCTCATCAGACACTTCGGATGACTGCCGTGACGAGACCACACGGCCGAGCTGGAAGCCAATCAGGTCGGTTTATCCTCAATCCAAAAGTTAGCACTTTATGCTTTATATATAAAACACTGTTAGGTTGACGCCCCTGTTAGGTGGAGGTTATTTCTGTAGCAGATGAACAATGGTGAAATCGTGAAACAGACTGTGGATCATCTTAGGATTTATTCAGCCATGGTCAGACAACGCAGAAACACAACACACATGGCTGACAAAGTGCGGACCATCGCTGACCCATGCTGACCAAGATCTCACGATCGCTTGCAATCATTGACAAAGTGGCCCAGTGTTCATCTTCACAGTGTGGCTTATATTCTGCTAGAAGGCACAGCCCACAAATTCCTTTCCAACTTTTTAGCACGGCAAGTTTGAAAACGAAAAGCCAAAGACCTTTTAGTTTTCATTTGAATGATGTCATACAATATGCATACATAGATAGCAAAAGTATAATGCAAACTGGATGACTGAATATTAATTTTAAATATAGGTCAAATAATGCACCTATATTCTGAAAATTTAAACGTGTTTCTGTTACTGCATTTTCATTTTAAAATTAGATTTTCATTTGAATTATGATATAAATTTAGCGGGGAATTTTTGGAAAATGAAAAAGCAAATGTAATCGTCTTCTTCATTTTGATTTAGTCTAAGAATTTGCATTTTTGAAGTTGAAAACTAAAATGCAAATTAGATAAGAGAATTAGAGTCAAATAAAACACCCATATTCTGAAAATTAAAAAGCATTTCTGTTATTGCATTTTCATTTTCAAATTAGCTTTATCATTTGAATTCTGATCACTAATCGCTTCCATATTTGTCTAGCAAACAGTTGTTGACAACATATGGTTGGCTCCTATCCAAACATTGATCTGCTGCAGTTTAGATGTTTCACCACATAAGGTTACAGCTTCACAGACCCAAAAGAAGAATTACCCGAAGATGGTTGACACAATTCAAAGCTATATCCACAACGTTATCAAGATGAATGAATTCATGAAAAGACGTACTAACAACCACTTTAACCTTTTACTGTGTCATCACATTACGTCTGCAAAACTGCATTTTGTGTTTGATAAACAACGTTTGTTTAAAATGAAGAGAAAGTCTGGACACACAGTAAAAACCTCAATGTGAGAGTTGTGTGTGTGGACTCTATATTTCAGTGTATTTTTAATGTCTTTATTACTTTATCTTTTATATTTTACAGACTTGTGTACGTAAGTGCTTATATCTGATTTTTTTTTTACTTTACTGTAAAGTAAGTAAACTTTGCTTTAAAAAAAAAAAAAGCCTTATAGATAAAATAGATTGGAAGTGGACTTGAGTGTAAATCCAGATAATTGCGGCTAATGTTAGCTAGGTTAGCTAGTTAGCTGTAGCTGCTGGGATTAGCAGCGGTAACTAAGCGCAGCGGACACAGCTAGCATGGTCTGTTTAATACAGAAAGGAAATTGCTTGTTGATAGCAACAGTTTCATCTAGAAACTTGAGCTTTAGTCTAAATAATGTGGGGTAAGATTAGCTAGCTGTAGCTGTAGCCGCTCACCTTAGCAACAGTAACTAAGGGGGGCAGAAACAGGCAACGTTAGCTTGCTTAACCCCCTCTAGCTTCTTGGCTATGAATATTTTGTGTATCGTCTTTTAAGTCGGCGTAATCCTCCGACTACGTGACCTTTTTTCTTTCCTCTCTGGCTTAAAAAAGTTGCAATAATTTTAAACCCATTTATGTTTAGATAAATTCAAGTTGATCAAGCGTGTGAAAAAGTGATGGATCTTTAAGAGGCTAAATACATTTCTTGGTTTGGCTTTTAATTAAGTTCATTTTCCTTTTTCTAAATTTCTCTGCAGGCTCTCCTGGACGCTCGGTCAGTGAAGGTCTTGGTGGTCTCGTTCGGCGGTGTGGAGGGGGCTCAGCTGTGGAAGGAGCAGACTGGGTGTACCTACGACATGCTGCTGGATCCACAGAGGAAGGTCTGCATGCCCGTTCTTACCCTCGTTTACTTGTTAAAATACAGAACATTTAAAATAATAGAGGAATTGATTGAATATTAAAAACAAAGATTTCTTTTTAGAGGTTTAAAAGATGGATCAGAAACACCCGAGACACTAGCCGAGACCAACGTGTGCATTGTTTGTATATGTGTAGAACAAAAATGATTTTATCGTTGCATTATTATTTAATAAACAAAGAATAAAACATAGTACAGTATAATCTAAAGTGCATATTTGTGCCTGACCTGAATTGACAGCACCCACAGCGCCCCCAGTCGAGAGGTGGCGTCATTACAACAACAACAAAAAGATCTCATTATTTCCCTTAATCGAATTGAATTGGGAAAATAATAATTGCAATACATTGATGAATCGATTTTTTATTAACCAGCCCGAGTAATGACGTTGAAAAATTGTGTGTCAGTGGTGGTCAGTGGAGACCGAGACAAGACCGGGTAAAAATGCTTTCGATTCCGAGACCCAAGACCTTCAAAAAGTGACCGAGCTCAGGTTCTACAACACCAGCATGTTCTATATAATCTTGTCTATATACTTGGCAGGAAGCATGACATTTAGCAACTCTACTTTCAGCAGCTGTTTGATGATGTGTCTTAACGTTCCCACTAAGCCGAGCCTCCAAACCTTTCAGTCTGAAAAAAGTCACCCACCAGATGTTTGCAGATGTGGGATGCAAACAAGGGCGATCGACTAAATATCTAAATGTTCCACAGAACAATTTGCGACATGTGTTTGTGTGTTAGGAACCTGATCAGCTCCTCCAGCAGATTCTTGTCATATCGCTGAATCCAAAGCAGGTGTTTCTCTCTGTGCTTCTGATTTAATAAAACTGTAAATATGATACAGTGCTACTTTTTTTTTTAACACAGTAGACGTTCTCTCTCTCTCTTTGGCCACAGGTGTACAGGAGCTTTGGCCTGGGCTCGTCCTACGCTAAGGTGATGAGGTTCGGCTGCCTGCTGCAGTACTCGGAGTACGGAGCTGTGGGAATCGACTTCCCTGACGTCCCCCCTCGCCTGATGGAAGACATTTATCAGGTACAAGTTGATGACACAGCAAACACGTTAGCGGTGAGGAGGTGCTTATTTAATGGCCCGAATCAATTACAGACATTAAGGGAAAACGTGCTGACATGCAGAACTGGAATTTAATATCTGAGGACGTTGAGGTCAAAATGAACTGCTGGATGTCTTATTTACTACTTGGGCACACACACACACACACACACACACACACACACACACACACACACACACACACACACACACACACACACCACCCCCACCATGGCCGTACTTTATTAGATTGGACAGCTGAAGAGAGAGAGAGAGAGAGGAAATGTTGGGAGGAGAGAATGGGGGGACAACATGCAGCAAAAAGCGCCAAGGTCGGATTTAAACCCGCAGTTGCCGTGACGATGACTACATCCTCTGTTCATGGGCAGAGCATCAGAACTGCTAGGCCATCCAGCGCCCCATGTCACTTTTATTTAGATGTGGCATGTGTCCATGGATGTCAATGCAATTAAAATAAATAAAAATCCATTTCAGCATTAGTTGTAAATTTGTCCTTGAGGACGATTGTGCAACAAGAATATATTTTTAGTTATGCTGATATTTTGACATCTAGATGGACTTAATCATGTAAAACATAAAATATTTTAGCTTGGGGTTATCAGTTTTACGCATTTCAATTGACATAGCTTTCAAAATGTGCAAATTATAGTACACCATAAATGGTACACTGTCTCTTTAAGTACTTAACATGCATCAAATAAACATGTCTCATAATGTAAGCATTACGTCAACATGTTAGCGTGTTAGCTTTTTGCTGTCTTTTTTCTGTCCCGTTACGCCTCGCCGCAAAACCAATCGGCCTTCGGGGACAAATGAAGTTGAAGTTGAGTCGAGAATTAAAAAGAAAAATACATTTATTTTAAATTCAGAAATGTGGAATATTTATTTTTTTCCCTTTTTTTTAAGATGACTCATAAAGAGATAAATGAGTCATGTTTTTAGTTTTACTTGCTGTCTGTTAAATATCCCATTTCCTAGTTAATTAAGTTAATTAAGGAATATTGCTCGGGTAAGATGAAGACTGGCTGAAATTATTTAAAAAGTATTAAAAATGACTTGTTGTGTAAATATTGTGATTTATTCTCATTTTCTTGTATACTTACTTTCTGACGTCTTTCCTCTCATTTGAGACACGTACCATATGTGTTATACTTTTATGTGTTTGTCTTCTCAGATGGGAGGTGACTTTGTGCTGGACGAAGCCGGGAAAGTCCTTCTCTCTCACCCGTCTAAAAACCCTCACGACAGACCGACTGTGAGCGACATCCTGCAGGCCGTGGACCCACAACCCAGGCTGTGAAAATGAAAAAAGAAAACAAACACGCCGAGCCTTTCGGGTTTACGTTTTTAACTCATCACTGACACCGCAGAGACAGAGCAGCTCTTTTGATTCACACTTATGACGTCATGTCTCCCATTCATGACATCATGAAGAGGCGTGGCCGATGCAGAGAATGTGAAGCAGAGGAACGTGCTCGTCTTTGTCGTGTCAGTGTTGGGATGGGGCCATGTTTTAAAAGAAGTGGTACTACTACTGGATCAAATGTGATTCAGTTTGAATTCTATAATAATATTAATGATCAGTAATCTATCACTCTATGTGGATAGCAACTAACAGTTTCTACCTCTTTTTAAATATCGAAGAAGAAGAAGATGATCTTTATTAATTTTTACACTCTGAGACATGCTACACACACACACACAGGCTGACATACACACACATGCACAAACAGGATCCTATCGACGTGCACCGATGTAGAGAAGTCAGAGTGAGGTGGCTGTGCACAGCAAGCGCTCCTGAGCTGGCAGAGATGGGTCGGCAGTGCTCAGGGGTTTGTTTTGATTTGGAGGAGCATGTGAAGTGACGTTTTACATTTCATTTTGCACAGCATTGTGGGTAATTAATTGCAACTGATTTCCTGAAAGGATGCATCCAAACCATACCGCACAAAACCAGGAAGTTAGCATCCATGATGAAATGTTCTCATTGAGGTGGACCCAAAGCATGACCACGAGGGTTCAGTCTACTGAAACGTCCGCACTGCATACTGAACTGTGGCTTTTCAGAAAAGGACCATACTGTACATTTTTCCCCTGAATCAGTCAGCATCCGGGCGGTTTTGATCTCACATATGTTCAGTTCTGTAAACTGCATTTTGCACTAATCAGTACATACTACTGGTATAGTAGGCGGTTTAGAAAACATGAATGCAACGCTACTTTTACTATTTCTCCTCGATGAAGTCATTATCCTTCATGTGCCTGGTCAAGGAAAGAACACCCCTTTTATTCCTGATGTAATCTTTGACTTAAGATCGATTTTATTGTAGAACAGCACTCTGACATCAAATTACAGATAAAAGGTGTCATTAATTTTATTTGATGGGTCTTCTCTTTTCATATTTATAGATTTAAAGAGCACACACTGTGATGTTTTTCTATAAACTGTGAGCTGAAATAACTCCCAACAAGCTGAGATCATGATGGCGAGTAGAGCTGGGTATCAAATGTCAGCTCTTTATTTTATTACTCTTAAGCTCTTGTACAGGTTTTTATATGGGGATGACATTCAACATTTTATAACCTGGACATCTTCTGTTGAATTTAAAATGCCTCTGCTGAAATAAAGAGTAGCTGTATTTCTAAAATGAAAGTACCAAAAAAAGAAGAACAAGTTTTGTATCTAAATAAAAGGTTGAGATGTTTTGAATACCCAGCTCTACTGAGGAGAAAAATTGAGTTTTATACAGACTGAAAATGTTCTAATCGTTTAGAAAATGATTTTGTCAAGTCTAAGTAAAGATTTATGATAAACAATTATGTTCAGCGTTTTATGTTTGTGTTGTTTTACACGCTGTGGGACTCGCAATACATGTGCATACAGATGGTGATTAGTTTAGATGACAGCTTCAGAGACACGCAGGCCCGAGGCGCAGGAGAATCAGTTTGACGGGGCGGTCCCATCTGGTAGCAGAGATGGTGAAAATAACTTTAAACACACTTTGATTTATATCTCTAAGAGGGTCAGTTTGCGCTGATTCAGGCAGACGGCCCTCGAGCTTCACATTTCTTTCCTTTTTTTTTTGGAAACTTTGAACAAATATTTAGAATTCCAGGCGTCAAATCGCAGTCCAGACCACTTTACCTCATATCGCTGCAGCTGCATGAATAATAATATTTATAACACTTACATAAACTTTGAAAGTCTTTTATGAATTTGTGCACATTTGAGACGCATCTTTCCCTTTAAAATCCTAGGATGAATTATCTTCATAGCTGTCCCCTTTCTCCTGCAAGATGACACTACTAAAGGTCCCATATCACCATGTTTCTCTAACACTAATATGTGTCTCTAGTCAGTCTACAAACCCCCCTAATATCATAAAAGTCCATCCTCTCAGTCTTCTGCCTGCTCCACTTTTCAGAAAATGTGTGCTCAAACAGGCCGTTTGGAGATTTTCCCTTCATGACATCACAAAGGGCAGTAACCCCTCCCCCAGGTGGTGACACTCCCTCAGCTATAGGACATGGAGAGATTGGCTTGGTCCTTCATAGGATGCCAACCCCCTGAAATTGACCCAGCTAATGAGGGCTTGAGCTGATACTCAAATAAGGAATGGGACACAATATTATGACATCACACGTTGACGAGAGACAAGACACGCTATTTAACAAAAGAAAAAGCCGATCTCCGGTATATATTTTTTGTCTTACATTACAGTGTTTGTTCAAGGCATTGATGTTCATCCTTTGTGAGTATTTGACTGACAACATAAATAACTCAAAAGTGATCAACCACATGTCACAAATTATCTTATTTGTATTTGGGGTTTTTCATCAAGTCCATACTTTTTTGGGGGGGCTTTTTTTGCTTTTAATGGAGAGATAGGACAGTGGATAGAGTCAGAAATCAGGTAGTGAGATAAGGGAACGACATGCGGGAAAGGAGCCACAGGTCGGACCCGAACCCAAGCCGCCCGCCCGGTGGATCACAGCCTCCATACATGGGATGCACACCAACCACCGCGCCACCAGCGCCCCAAGTCCATACTTTTTTTTTTGTAAATAAATTGTATCTTTTTTTTTTTCCTTTTTCTTTTTTAACACTATGTCTTCAGTATTGGACATTTGTTTTACAATTAGTGGTGGGGTGGACAATCATGTTCTTTATGTAACAAGTTTACAATGAACTCTGGGTAAGTCCAACAGGGAAGTCTGCAGACTGGGGTAGTCATGAATCCAGACTTTTAAACTTAGAAATGATACGAGTAAAAATCTAACAATATCGATACCTGTCTGATATTATGACAAAAAAGAATGTCCTTGGCACCCATTGTTGGGTCATTTCTTGCTGTTAATCACCAAAAACTGCAGGGAAACTCCTGCAAATTGCATAAATACGCTGCTAATGTATCACGCTTCAGAGCCCTCACACATTTAGGAAATGACAGTGGGACAGTCCTAAGCACTCACACGTATACTGGGAACGCGATAAAAAGTCCCTGAGTCTGAGAGTGTGGAGATTGTGATTGGAGAAGAGTCTTAAAGAGCCACTCTGTCGTCAAACTCGCAGACATAGTTCATGGTGCGGTCGCAGTAATGATCCCACCAGTCGCCGTCGTCCGACGACATGGCCACACAGTTCTCCCGCCTCCCTCCGTCCGGTTGACTGGACAGGAAGTGTTTACGCCACTGAAAGTAAGACACCCGCGTCCCGTCTTCGAAAAGGTACATGCCCTCCGATCGCAGGTCGCTGATGCCCAGCCACACGGGCCAGTTCCCCGGGTGGAAGAACGACTTGACGTAGTCGGCGAGGGCTTCCTGCTCCCTACGGTCCCGGGGCATTGCTATCCGACCACCTCGCTCCAAACACTTCCTGGACGCTCCGGCGTAATCCTGATAGCTGTTATAGACAAGGTAACATTTGTATCCCAACCTGTGTCCTTTCTGGCAGCCTAAGAAGCAGGAAAACAGAAACAGATGCTTCATCATGTTTGACATGTAGGAAAGGTTTCACTTTATCGGTAATATCAATGAAACTTGTTCATTTCTTCACAGCAGACTGACTCCTTAACATCCATTATCTCTCGTTTGTATCTGCAGTATTCATTCTCCTTTTTGCTCCTTTTTGGTCTCTACCATTTCTTGACACAATAATCGCCCTTTTATCTGTAAATAGTCCACAAAGTTCACCAGCTGGCTGCTAAATATATCTGCTTTATGGTGCATTTGATGCAGCCGTTAGTGTTCATTTTGGTTTTCTGAACCAGTTGAGTAAAATTAACCCACACCTGGAGTTAATTCTCTTTGGCAGAATAGATTTTTGGCCACCCTTTGGTGAACCTTTTTCAAGATGCTGTCTCTAGATTATCCGCTGACGGAAATAAATATGATTATAGCAATAAAGTCTGGACTGAAAATGTCTGTGTTTTCATTACCATTTAAAGGCTTTATATGTGATTTTTTGATCCAGCAGATGTCGCTCTTGAGCATCAGCATGAAACCAAAACAACTCGCGGTGCATTGTTGTGTTAGCATGCTAATGCTAGCGATCTTTATTATGCTCGTGTCTTCACACTGCATGTAAATTTACCTGAAATGAGCGTGATCTAGAAACACAGTTAAGCAGTGAGTACAGTATGTTATTCTTCTTTTCTCTAGTCCCTCAATTAAACAACTTTTATACACGAGGGGAGGAGTCAGCCGGCCGTCCTGGCGATGTAAACAAACTGAAGATAGGACTCTGAAAACTCTGAAAACATCACAGACAGTGGGACTCGGGTGTTACACCCATTGTAGACAGTCATGACTCACAGAGTTATCTCATATAAAGCCTTTAAGTCAAAGATTTATGGAAGAGAAACAGATTTTTTTTTTTCCAAGAAAACTCAGCAGCAGGTGCATTGGAGCAAAAGTGATACAAAGAAAACAATAATGGCTACCTTCCAGTCTTCCCATCTCTTTCCTGTTGTCCTTGCTGTGCTGGTAAACCTCCTGGATGCTGTCCTCCAGCTCCCCGACTTTAGCTGTCGTGTTCAGTGATGCAAACAACATGAACAAGGAGACATGAGAGTCAGTCTCTTTATCTTTTCTCAAAGTTTAGGAACTAAGAGGCAATCTTAACTTTGGTCTCAAGTTGAATGTGACATTGCAGTTTATGATGGGGATTTAATTTAATGTTATACAGAAAATGCTGAATATAGATCATCCTGTGTTGTGGAAGGAGAAATAATAACGTCAGTGGTAGATTGATGGAGACAGTGATTGTTTTACCATCCACCCTGGACAGACGGTCCATCAGCTGACTGACTTTAACATCCAGGGTGTAGTGACCCACATTCAGCTTGTGGATCGCCTGGTCCATGCCGGCTAGTCTGGACACTGAGGATAGGATAAAAGCCATATTAATGTTCCTGTTTTAAGGCTAATTTTGACAGAACCTTTGACACATATATGATACAGATTTGTCATGTTTTGATCGGCTGTGAGGATGCAGACTCACAGACATAGTTGTATGAGTTTTCAAAGTCTGACACTGGGCTGGTTGGCTCTGGTTCAGGCTCTGGAAGAGTATCCGGAACATCCCCTCTCGCCTTCTTCACCTCTTGCTGAGGAGACTGGTACGTGGAAAAAAAGGAATCAAAGTCAACATTTCTCAGACACTGTATTTACCACGTGTCAGTTCTGTCTTCGCTCCAGTACATGGACTTAAATCAAATCCAGCTTCTCCCCACAAACTAATTATAAACCAGCGTTTGAAACTTACAAACAGGCTCATTTAGGGCTCTTCTCCAAAAACACATATGACCTCCCTGCTAACATCTGGGCCTGGCTTGTTTTCAAATTCCCGATGATTTAGCCTGAACAGTGTTTGTAATGAAGCGATTCTTACATAATCTGCTCCTCTGTCTAACTCAGAACACAATGGAGTAAATGTTTACTCTATTGTGTCTCCGACCTCAACTATCTTGATTTTGTGCAGTGTTTTGTCATGTTTTGTTTTTACTAAGTGTTGTGAAAGAAAACTATTAACAGCAGTGAGGTCATCAGAAAAAGTTCTATTTCTACACTGTAAAAAATGTAAAGTAATTGTCCTCAATGCAGAAAAATTTAGCTGACATTAAAATTTAAATTAATTAGTCAAAATGTAATAGTCTATATTTGTATAATGAATTCTCATCATAATTACCAAGAGCCCAAAGTGACACTCTTACAAAGGTCTGTTTGTCCAAATTAGTGATAATACATCAAATAACATCTCCATCCATCCGTTATTATCTATACCACTTTTTCACAGTCAGGGTCTCCGGGGGGCTGGAGCTGATCCCAGCTCTCTTTAATCACTATCAGCACAAAAAAAAAGTGATCCACAAAAGTCCAAGAAATAGTTCCCCAACGGTACAATGAAATGTCATATTTTTTCACAATATATTATTTTGTATTGTATTGTACCGGTTTGAATCGTAGCGTATCTTTTTGTATTGTTCCATTTTTAATCATATCGTATCGTTTTGAATCGTCATTTTTTTAAGTGTATCGTATCGTATTGAATCATATCGTATAGTAACAGGTATCGAAACGTTTTTTTATCGTATCGTTTTGTGTCGTATTATTTTTTTGGATTGTATCACTTTGTATCATACCATAGCATTTTGTATTGTGTTGTATCATAATGTATGTCGTCATATGTCATAAGGACTGAAAGAGTGTTTTAAAAACGTGTACCAACAACCTGCCAAAGACTACTGTACAGATGGAAATTTGCCTAAGGCTGCAATTTGGTATATTTACATGTTTATGTTCATTAATGTGCTCTGTCCCTGTTGTAAATAGATAGAAAAAAAATCTACAATAAGACTAATGGAGATCCCCCGTCATCTTATTCAAGAAAGTGTGGTGTGTGTGTCATATCCATGATGTCACTTTCAATAGTTTTGCCAGTAAACACCATTCACACAACACTGAGGCATTTCCTTACATTGATTATTATTTCCACTGGACATCTGTGCATATTTAACAAAAAGTATCTCACTATCATCAAGTTTTCATTTTTTTAATTTAGCTTCACCTGAGTCTCTCCTGCACACGTGTACAGTAAATACACTCTGAGCATTATGAATGGATTCAGTGTTTGACTCCAACAAAATTACAGTGGCAGCAACATCTGTAAAGGTTAGTATAGTTTTCAGTTTAGTGCAGTCCCATGCAGTTCTGACCTGTGTTGGTGAAGCGTCCACCGTCTCTGTAGAAACATAGAGAAAACACAAACACAACAGAGCGAGCGAGGTGGCAGCAGGTCCCATTTTCTGCGTCTGGTTCTGCATCTTAACTCCCTCTGCACCTCTGAGTCTCTCTCTCTCTCTCTTCTCTCTCTCCCACTCCTCTCTCCCTCCTTCAGCCCTCTGAGACTCAGCCAAGCAGAAACATCCCACCAGAAGTATGAATGAGAGCTGCTCTACATCCCAAACTGTATTAAAAAAAAAAAAAAAGTCCGCCTGCTGCCTCTCCTCTCTGTGCCACGTTCAGGACGTCTGGCTTTTTTTTTTTTTTTTTGCCAAAACAACAGGAAAGCTCTTTGTTTTTGCTCCCACCTCCCACTTCCACTCTTTGTGTAAACCTGCAGATTTACTCAGGGGGGAAAACATGACACATCTCTGTGCTTGTGGAAACAACAAACACAGACACTTTTTTTAAGATGTCAACGTTTTTTTAAGAGTTTGGAAAAAACAGGATGGTTCAGAGTTTCATGGCAATACATTAGCCAGCTGGTCTAGTGTGTTTTTAAATGATCTAAACATCTTAGGAAGCATCAACCCATGATGTACATTATTCAACATATCCGATCTGTAGGATTCATGCATGCAAAAAATGATGCATTATGCTATAAGGGGGACATATACAATCCAAGGTTGTCAACAATGTCAGTATTCACACTACGTTATGAGACCATCTGTTTTAAATATCTGTTATTTTAGGGAATGATAGTTTTAGAAAGTACCAAAGAAAAATATATTTTCAGTCACATTTTCAACCAAAAGCTGCAGGAAGCTAGAAAAAGAGAGACAATTTAGACAGTGTGCAGGAGTTTGCCTGCATTGTGCAAAAAGTCCCAAGTACAATATGTGGTACTTAGGGCTTCTATTTTTGTTGCTGTGGTATCAAAACAAGTATCGATGTTGTTTGCTGTTTACTAGGAGGGCATCATAAACATCTGGTAAAACTCTACTGTAATCAGAGTCAGTGTTATTTGCATGAAAATGCCAAAAGTTTTAACAAAAAAAATCCACGTTTAAGATCCTTTTCAATGGTATGAAACTGTCTGTATTGGTGAAAGGAGTTTGTTCAGTTGTCATGGTGATGGGTTTGTTGACATGCCTGCTTCCTCTGTCTGTTATTTGATTTATGGCATTTCTTTTTAGAACATCTTGTCTGACTGTAGCATTAAGTATTAAATCATGCAAGTTTTATTCTCGACCTCCCCCCCCAAAAAAAGTTGTTTCACACTAAAGAAAAAAGATTTACAAGGTCAAGAAAGCCCGCTGTGATGATGTGATCTGATCGCTTTTTCTCGTTGGCTTAAATGTCGGCTGTTGCCAAAATAAAAACGCTGCATGCCTGTACACAGAAGCAAACAATGCTCATAAACTTACCACAAACTCACTTCCTTGTAAGAATGATTAGGTGAACTATGAAGCCTGCTCGCCACACTTTAAAAAAAACAATAACAGATGGAGAAATATGGGGTTATGAATCTGTTCAGGGGAAATGATGACGTAAAAAGGAAAAGGAAAAACTGGATGTGTGTGTCTGTGTGTGTCTGTGTGTGTGTGTGTGTGTTTGCATGGGTCCAGGAGGTATGCCAGTTAAAATGCCACAAGAATCCTGCAGAGTTTTCCAGGAGAAGCGTCTGAAGGCTCTGGAAACGGGAGACTGGGAGGAGCGCTACAGCGGAGACTGGGTCTGTGATCTAATACTCTGATGTGTTTGAGGTTTGCAAAGACGTCTGCACTTACAACAGCTGGTCCAGTACACAATGGAGTCAGAAACTCCAAACGTGTTTCCAAGTTGTGTTTTGATTTAAGAAAAATGTACGACCTCTGAATAAATCTGGTTTTATGATTCTTTCCACTTTCCTACTTTGGACATTTAAATCTCCCTCGAGGAGTTTTGAGCTGGTTATGAAACAGACTGGAATTAACACTGAAGCCTCTATAGAGCTACAGAAACAGACAAGACCATCAGCAACAAGATTGATTCTTATACAGATGACTTCTATATAGTCGTTTTTAACACTTGTAACTCCTGCTGCAGGTTAGGTGTCAGACAGAAACAGCCTTTGTTTACATTTTCCACAGCAAAGATTCACCATGAGTGAGATTGTTTGACTGTTTGGAGACAGCTGGAGAAGTTTTTTTTTTTTTTAAGAAAACACGGCTCACACAAAGGGGCGTGTCCAGATTAAAAAATGTAATGCGATGGACCAACTGCAGCACTGACTTATGCAGGAGTGGCATGAAGTTTCCGTGCACACACACACACACTTAGAAATTGCATGCAAACTCCTGCACGATGTCTGAATTTGTTATAAAGAACTTATTCAAAACTAAATTTACTATATTGACATGTTAAGAAAACTACAACCAGTCTGTATCAGAACAGCCAGTATAGATCATTTTATTGGGTAGAAAGCAAATCTTAGTTAAGCATATTGGTTGGCACCTTTGGGGTGTCCAATCAGATTTCAACTGGGGGCTCATGCCACCCCTCTGGACATGCCCCTGCTTACACATACTGTAAACTAGTATAGCATGCTCAATGCACCTTAATCTGTATATTATAATCCTAAAATACACTTTTATATATATATATTTATAGCATTTATTTATATTTATAGCATCCCATTAATCCAGCCATCCAGATATACCTAATAATTCACTTTTTTTAGTCTACATCTGTAAATTTTGTAATTACTGTACATAGCACAGACTCTTGCACTTTCTGCTTATTTGCACTTCTGGTGAGATGCCAAACCTCATTTCGTTACTCTATACTTGTATATGTGTAATGACAATAAAGTTGAATCTCATCTCATCTCTCATCACATGTACAGGACAAAAATTATTGAAGAAATAAGAGGTATTAGTTTGTCCACAAGGGGGCGTCAAAATCGACAACAACTGAAAGTTCCCGACAGGAGCTTTAAGGTAAATGCAATCAAATCAAAGTCATGCATGAAGCAGGCGATTCATTTCTTAATTGATTAGCCAATTAATAAAAAAATAATCTGAAGAAAAACTTGAAAAATCATCATCAACAAGAGATTTTAGTACCAAAATAACAAAAGAATATATTGAGTTACAGACTATCCACTGTGATACAATTCAACATTTTTCTTGTCCTCATATTTAATTAAGTATCTTGATGTTTTGGGAAGTGCATAGAACAATAAAATAAATTGAGAGGTCACCTAATGCTTTGGGGATTTGAAATGGCAATGAGATTTTTCAGCATTTCTGACATATAATAAACCAAACTGTTAAACAAATAGATAATTAATAATGAGGATCATTGGGAATTGGGGTCCTACATTAACTTCTGCAAAAGAACAACTGTATGTGTAATATGTGAGGAGCCTTATATATTAAAATCACTTTCTCATATGGGCAGAGTGAATGGGTCTGCCTTTGTGTGATCATGCATTTCCCAGGAATAAGGTGTTGATGCGTTCCCTTCTTTGCTAAATAAATAAATAAAGGGTTTTCTGTTAGTGCACAAACATATGATGACTCAGTGAAATGCAGATCTGCAGACCTCTAAACCTGAACAAACAAAGAAGGAGTCAGCCATTGTTTTCTTTCCTTTGAAGACACGCCCTGTAGTTTATTTTCAGGCTGTGTCACTCGCCTGCTAGACATAAGGTAATAGCACCTTTACACAATAGCGCTCCTGTTTCTATTTTTTGCTGCCAGTTAAATACCGTGCAAAGGATTTTCATTCAACCAAACATTTGTTGCATAATAAAGTAGCTGAGAGGGAAAACAAAGCAGCCATTGAGAGTGTGGATGTGTCGGGTGGTGCTGCAGGGAGGACCGCTGGACCGCACAGAGGAGCCTCAGTTCAGGGAGGGACGATGAACACAAGCATACTGTACCTATAAGACCACCGCTGATAGACGGTGTTTTATTTTAATGTTCATGGTTACAGACTTTACATCCCCTCAGTTTAATCATCTTTTATTCCTTTTATTGATCTCTTTTTGTATCGCTTTACTGATCACATTTATTCCTTTTAAATTGCTTTTATTCTCAGGTATTTTAAACGTTGCCTTTTGCTGAATTTCCTGGACTTCTCTCTGTTCAGCCTGATTGTTCATTCTGTTATTTCCTTTGCTTCTGTTGAGCCTTTGCTTTGTCTGTAAAAGTGTGTTTACATCTTTTTAAAGGTGCTATAGTGTATTATGAAGTATTATTAAAGTTATGAAGCCTGTAGTGACCATGACTATAAGTGTACGATGTCACTAGCAGAGGTGGATTGGATTGGACGTCAAGGCTTCAATTAAGCGTAACCATCTGCCTTATATGTTGACACGTTCAGTTAACTGCAGGTTTCTTCTTCGGCGCTGTTTAACCTTCAGTGCATTCAAAATGTATGAAACACAGAAATGCTCTCCCTTTCCTATAAATACCCTCTCTGACTCTGACGCTCTGCTGCTGCCTCGTACTCGTGGGAGACATGGAAAGAGGTCTGGTGGTTCTAATCTGGGTCGTGTTCAACTGAGCGGTGAAATGTTTCCTTTGAACGTTTGTCTTTCCCCCGAAGCAGCCGTTTCGATCTGGTAGGAATTAAAAGTGGAGGAATTGATGTCATGGAACTGGAGAGGGGGGTCAACAAATAGGAAAACAAACCGGCTGTCCACGAGTCAGAAACAGAAACATTAGCTCAACAGTGAAGATCTTTATTTGTATCTTATGAGAAAATGAAAACTGTAAAGTATCATTTGTCTGGTAATCAAGAAGAAAACAGCAAAGAGCCTGTATATGGAGATATTATATCAGGCTTTATTTAATTCAATGCACTTATTGAACTTAATTTTTTATTACATAGTTATTGGTAATTTCCCTTGGCTTTAATTACATTTTACACTATATATTAGAAATAAATACACATTTATCACCCCTTGGTTCATTTCCCAGAGGCCCTGGGACACTTGAGGATTTAAATTAATATTTCTTTATTTTATTGCGCATAAGAAGAAAGAAAAAACACAATAAAGAACAATAACGTGCAGTACAAAGTGATTAGGAAGTAAAAACGAGTGTCCCTTCTTATTTTAACAATATTTTATCCACGTCACACGTCGTAGTGTGCTTTGCTTTCTTCTTCTCTCTTGTGCTCCCTTCAGTCTTTTCTGGAAAGACTTCATGCTAATTGTTTGACTTAGTGTTCTTTGGTTAAAGTGTTGTTGAAGAT